AGTAAAGCTTGTAGCGTGGCGTCGAGTGGAGATTGACTATGAACACCACTACCAAGAAGCTCGTTCCAAATGACTCCATAAAATCCTCGAGGAGCCAAATATCAGAAGGCAATTAATGGACCAAGTCGAGGTTTATTTGCTGGCGATCTCGTGGCATCGAAAGGATACCGAGATCGTGCCAGGATACAAGCTTGGTTACAGAACGTAACCGAATTTGCGAGAAGTTACAATCGAAGTGTGTGAATAAGAATGGAAGCACAATATAGCTGTCATTAGCACAGTCAAACAAAAGCACATTTAAACAAGCACTGGTACAATTGGTTATAATAATAATTGTTTTTATTAAACCAGTCGTGTTCAAGTGATAAATGTGAGTCACTACAAGTTAATACAGTGTCAATGAATGATAATAAACGCAGGAGAAAACGCAAGCGGAATTCATCCTCCGCATCTTCTTTCAATGTAAATTCAATTTAGTGATGACAGTTATTGAGTGGATTTATGGTTCCTTCGGATTCCATATTTTATTTACAAATGATGAAAGTGTCATCCACGTATCCTCCTTATAAATGAAATCTCTCAATTATTGGTTGAAGTATCGTATTTTCCAGAATAACCATGAAACAACTAGCCAAGAGAGGGACCATTAGTGACCTCATTGCAACTCTCTCAGTTTGTCTATAGAAGTCACTAATAAAACTAAATTGCACATTGTAAGTACTTTGAAGCAGCAATTCTCTTAGGCTACCTTACGATGAAATCTCTTCTATTTTCCTATAGACATATATTCATCAAACTATAAGTATGAATGTACAGCTTAATTAAATGATTTCATGGAAAGCTAAATTTCCTTAGCTGGATTATTTTTATTCGAGGCCGGATTTATCTTCATTATGCTGCTGATATTCACTCTAGTTAATCTATGGGCCAATTTGGAATATATGAAAGTTATTTAATATTTCAGTGACTAGGAAGCACTTTGCCGTGTGCAGATGGTTTTAAGCAAATCGGGTACAGCTCTAGTTGCAATCAAATATCAGCCCTTATTGGATTCGAGACCGGCAACTAGTTCCTTAAAATCCAAGGCTTGTCCTTGGCTTCACATGCACGACGCCATGAAAACTGGCAGTAACTTCACTTGTGACTTCTCAAATCGTTCAAACTTATAAGCTATGGATTTCTGCTGAATCTGTGAGCAAGAAATTTTGTATTAGCTCAGCTGTTAAAATTCCAATCACAAAATCATGATAGCAACATGGAAAAATTGGCTGAGGTGTAGCGATAAATAAATCCCCAAAATCAATAGTTCTCTAAGTCTTCGACATTGGATGCTGACCACATTAGTTTTAATGGACTCACCTATCTGATGGCGCTTGGTTATGCATGCGCACTAGATTACGAGTGAGAACGCCTTGGTGCTGGTATCATAACCAGTATGGAAAGTCTTCCAGAAATTGCAGAAAACCCTGCAATTTTCCAAACTCAAAATCGACCAACACGAAAAACAATTCGAGGAACTTCCAAGCCGCTATGCGGTAACGGAAACCGTAACCATCGAACATGGCCGTCTGTCATACGTCACAGACGTGATAACGAAAGTTCGCGTAAACGGAGGCTAGTAGACGGAAACACTAATTTATCTGTATGAGTAACTTCTTTTTCTGGTTTCAGATTATCTCCAGCCACAACTAAGCACACGAGAAATCCATTCTATCAAGTACTACTCGATAAATATTCTGGGATATACCGACCGCAACCGAAACTACCATGTGTAACCAGCAACGTTACAAACCACATCATGACTACAGGACCACCTGTATTCTCCAAAGCACGACGACTAGCCCCTGAATAGCTAAGGTTGGCGAAAAACGAGTTCGACCACATGATAGACTTAGGAATCGTACGGCCGTCAAATAGCCCATATGCATCTCCGTTGCACATGGTCCCTAAAAAGGACAGCAACGATTAGCGTCCAACTGGTAACTATCGGCAATTGAATGCAAAACCCATTCCCGATCGTTACCAGTTGTCCCACATTCACGATTTGACAGCTACCTTGAAAAGTACAGCTGTGTTTTTGGAAAATCGACTTGGCTGAAGCGTGTAATCAACTCCCTATGGCTACTGACATAATTCCAATAACCGCTATCATAACTCCCTTCGGAATCTAAGAATTTTTGCGAATGCCTTTCGATCTAAGAAACGCTGCCCAAACTTTCCAAAGGTTCATAGGCGACGTTTTTCAAGGTCTCAACTTCGTACATGCGTATGTTGACGACTGCCTTGTAGCAAGTCCGGACAGAGAATCTCATCTTAAGCATCTGGATCTCGTTTTCGACCGACTACAGAAACATAGCATGACTGTAAACATTCAGAAATGCCAATTCGGAACCGACTCATTAGATTTCCTAGGACACACTATCGATGCTCAAGGAATTCGACCTCTTAGGACCAAAGTGGCGGCCATTCAGGATTACCCAGAACCGACCAACGTCAAGCAATTACGCACGTTTAACGGCCTGGTAAGTTTCTATAGACGCTTCATACTGAAATGCGCATTACTTATGAAACCTCTTACTGACCAACTTCGTGGAAATGCGAAATCCATTAATTTGGACGACACCACACGAAAAGCGTTCTCCACAGTTAAGGAACTGATCGCTAAAGCAACAATGCTCGCACATCAGGACACTGAAGCACCCATTAGTATCGCAGTAGACGCATCCGACTCGGCAATCGAGGGAGTCTTACAACAATGGGTTAACCACTCCTGGCAACCTTTGGCATTTTTCTCTATGCAGTTGCTAGACACTGGAACTAAGTACAACACATTTGGTAAGGAACTCCTAGCTATGTATTGTGCTGTACGGCAATTCCAACACTATATCGAAGACCGTGGGTTTACCCTTTTTACGGACCATTAACTCTTAATTTCTCTTTAAGTTCCTCTTCAGACAAGTACTCACCACGTGAGTCTCGACAACTGGACTACATTTCGCAGTTTACTTCAGACATCTCTGGAGCAAACAATGTAGTCGCTGACGCATTGTCTCGCAAAACTTTCCAAGGAATCGACCATTTTAAACTCACCTAGCTTCAAAAAGAAGACACTGATCTCCAGCACGAGTTATCTTCAACAGCCCTTAAGCTGCGCATCAAACAGTTGGGAATAGTTAGGGAAACACTACTGTGTGACACATCTACAGGTAGGGATCGCCCAATCGTTCCGAAACAATATCGATGCAACGTCTCCAATACGTTGCACAAACGTTCTTATCCAGGTGTTCGTGCAACCATCAAGCTCATAGCAGAATGGTTTTGCTGGCCTGGTATGAATAGAGACGTGAGGGAGTGGGCACGCTCCTGTGTAGTCTGCCAGAAATCTAAGGTTATTAGACACAACAAATGTCCCTTAGGCTCATTCAAAACTCCTGATGCTCGTTGTGAACATGTTCATCTGGGTTTGGTAGAATCTTTACCAGATTCAAATGGATACTCTTACCTCTTAACCTGCGTAGACCGTTTTCACTCGATGATCAGAAGCAATACCTATCAAGGACATCACTACTGCCAGCGCCTTCGTTGAAAGATGGGTAGCGAATTTCCGCTGCCCTTCAACAATCATTGCAGATCGCAGACGCCAGTTCGAGTCTGAACTTTTCCATTGTCTGACCGCACTATTAGGAATCACTCGCTTCCGAACGACCGCCTGCTATCCACAAGCAAATGAGTTGATAGAACGCGATCACAGACAACTAAAAGCTTCACTATCAGTTGCAAACATTTCTCAGTGGACTGACGCTCTTCCACTCATCTTATTAGGTATTCGCAATGCAGTAATAACTGACATTAGATACACTGCGGGTCAACTCGTTTATGGAACGACAGTTCGACTTCCAGGAGAATTCGTGGATCCTTCATCCTCTTCAATGAGCATGGATCTCACCTCCTACATGAACAGGCTTACAAACACAATGTGTTCAGTTAAGCCTGTTTCCAATCAACCGCAATCAAGTGATATTTTCGTTCAACCTGACTTACGATATAGTACACACGTCTTCGTTCATCGAGATTCACATCGACGACCTTTCGAATCAGCATACGAAGGACCCTTCAAAGGTGTTCAGCGCGAACGCAAGTACTACATAGTTGATAAGAACGGAACCAACGATAGCGTCAGCATCGATCGCCTCACAACAGCGTACTTAGAAGGAAATCATATTCACGTCCATTTTCCTTTGGTGCAATCGCACGACATAACTCCTACACTTATAATACCTCAACCAACAGCCAACACACAAGATGATACTTCGACAGTATCTGAAAATAAACTTGAAACAACGCGTTCTGGAAGAAGAGTAAGATTTCCAGAACATTTGAACGATTATTGCACGTAAGATATTAGTCGACGTTTTATATCGTCTTGAGTTTTCTTTGTACCATGTATAATTTAGAAAATTTTTAATATGCTTATATAATTTTATTTAAAAAAAACAAAAAACAAAATCAACAAACACGTATCACCTCCTGATTACCATCTCCGTCTTGAGCTAGTTGTAGCTGATGTAAGTCTCATTGTGATCATCGCACACTAGCTTTTCCCATCTCCCTTCTTATAATTCTAGCCCTCCTTTTTCGCTGCACTTCGGTCCGTCCACCTTGTCCAGGCGACTGGCTTTCATTCATTCGAATTTTCTTCATTATTATCCACATTGCGAGGAAGGAACTTCTTGACTGGTAATATGACAGACAACAGTCTGTTAAACTTTGCTGCTACAAACTCACACTCAAAACACAGGACACACAAATACACAAAATAACTACCGAAGTGACTAAAACTAAAGCAGTTTGGGATGCTGGACTAAAGGCCTATTGGACGTTACTAAGGAATTGAAGACACTTGAACAAATATAAGAATGTGAAAAAGCAAGTCGGTTTACAAAAGCTGGTCACAAAAGTGTCAGGTATTGGTACAAGCTTAAGTTGTTCAATAGGGTCTATTTGTTTGAATGCTTCTATAGTTGCTTGTCGATTCTCGGACGTTCTAGACATTAGTGGCGTGGTTTTGTGCTATTTACCGGTGACAATGCTCCGAGCGTTTGCTACATTTCGTGGTACATTGGCTCCTGCTCGACACAGAATTATTCAAAGGTCTTATGCTAAGGATGTTAAATTTGGAGCTGACGCGAGATCAGCTATGTTGGTTGGCGTCGACATACTCGCAGATGCTGTTGCAGTAACCATGGGTCCCAAAGGTCGTAACGTTATAATAGAAAGCTCGTGGAAATCTCCTAAAATTACCAAAGACGGGGTGACAGTTGCCAAAGGCATTGAGCTGAAGGATAAGTTTCAGAATATTGGAGCCAAATTAGTACAGGATGTTGCTAACAACACTAATGAAGAGGCTGGTGATGGTACGACAACAGCTACTGTTCTAGCTCGAGCGATAGCTAAAGAAGGTTTTGAAAAGATCAGCAAGGGTGCGAATCCCATTGAGTTCCGAAGAGGTGTTATGTCTGCCGTTGATGCTGTCGTTAAAGAGCTCAAGTCTTTGTCAAAGCCAATATCAACTCCAGAGGAAATAGCCCAAGTCGCAACAATATCAGCCAATGGTGACAAAGCGATTGGTGATCTAATTGCTACTGCTATGAAAAAAGTTGGGAACGATGGTACGATAACTGTCAAGGTAAGCTTAGTTTTCACCTACTTGAACAACTTAGGACGGGAAAACTCTTCATGATGAGTTGGAGTTCATCGAGGGCATGAAATTTGATCGTGGCTACATTTCCCCATACTTCCTCAACACTGAAAAGGGGGCGCGATGCGAGTTCCAAGATGCTTTCGTATTGTTTTCAGAGAAGAAGATTAATAGCATTCAAACATTATTGCCAGCTCTTGAACTGTGTCATCAACAAAAGCGACCACTACTTATAATCGCCGAAGATGTTGAGGGTGAGGCTCTTACGGCCCTTGTTCTTAACCGTCTGAAACTCGGCCTGCAAGTTTGCGCAGTTAAGGCACCAGGTTTTGGTGACAACCGTAAAAATACACTTAAAGACATGGCAGTGGCGACTGGTGGGCTGGTAAGTTTTTTTCAAGTTGCATTTTGTAGATCTTTAGTTGACAAAAATTAATGTTCCTATTTCTACCTTATATAGGTATTCGGCGATGAAGCAGATATGTTCAAGTTGGAAGATGTGCAACTGCAAGATTTGGGACGTGTGGCCGAGGTCATAGTGACTAAAGACGATTGTCTGTTGATGCGTGGTCGTGGAAGTAAGACGGATGTCGACAAACGCATCGCGCAAATCAAAGAAGAAATGGAAGCTTCTAACAGTGAATATGAAAAAGAAAAAATGCATGAGCGTCTGGCTAAGCTGTCTAACGGTGTTGCGGTCATCAAGGTTGGTGGAAGTAGTGAAGTAGAAGTTAGTGAGAAGAAGGACCGGTACACTGACGCACTTAACGCAACGAGGGCAGCGATTGAGGAAGGGATAGTTCCTGGTGGTGGTACTGCTTTGCTTCGCTGTATTCCAATCTTAAAGTCACTGGAGACCAAAAATGAAGATCAACGCACAGGTTAGTAAATGGTTTTATAGATTACTGATATGTTGACAGTTACGTAATGATGAAAAGTATTCGATCTAGACTAAAAGTACAGCGAAGTAACGAGTTGGTTACATGAAAGGTGGCTGGACTCGTTACTTTGTCTCACTGCTTTGTGTAAACGTTCAATTTACCATACTCTTGTCGATGTATTGCATTGCTCATTGCCACCGTCCTGTAATAATGTAATGACAATATGTTTAGCTCAAGGTTTCCTTTGTGGTCAAGGTGAAGCATACGGTTTAGGGCGTATAAATTGCTCATGTGTTAAGCACACACCTATATAGAAGTTAAGCCTACATTTAAGGGTGTCTCAATTGCTTAATAGTATTAAGTGCACACCTATATGGATGCCTTTAATCGGTTTGAGTGTTGCATGACTGAGAAGTCATGTGTCAAACGAACCGTAAACGGAATGTCATTAAAACCCCTTTACAGCCATTCGTAATAATGGTTGTTTGGGTATAATGCGACAATGTGATAGTTGGTCTGTAGGTTTGTAGCCGAAAAACTACATGTCGTCAGACCAAACATCAAGTTTACGCAACCAGCGTCTCGTTTTCGTGGTTGTGCAACAAATCCATTGGACTAGTTTATTTCCTGAGTTGGGTTGTCCATTTTTTTACGGTAGTGCAGTGAAGTGCGTGTTACAAGGTACTAATGTTTGCTTGTAATCAACTCAGTAGGTGTGTTGGTGCTACGTCCACTCTCAGAACTGTTCTGTTTGAATATGTAGACAAGATTTTCGGCTCATATCGAAGCCATAAGATATTCCTTGTGGTCAAAGTGAAGCCTACATTTAAGGGTGTCTCAATTGCTTAATAGTATTAGGTACACACCTATATGGATGTCTTTAATCGGTTTGAGTGTTGCATGACTGAGAAGTCATGTGTCAAACGAACCGTAAACGGAATGTCATTGAAACCCCTTTACAGCCATTCGTAATAATGGTTGTTTGGGTATAATGCGACAATGTGATAGTTGGTCTGTAGGTTTGTAGCCGAAAAACTACATGTCGTCAGACCAAACATCAAGTTTACGCAACCAGCGTCTCGTTTTCGTGGTTGTGCAACAAATCCATTGGACTAGTTTATTTCCTGAGTTGGGTTGTCCATTTTTTTACGGTAGTGCAGTGAAGTGCGTGTTACAAGGTACTAATGTTTGCTTGTAATCAACTCAGTAGGTGTGTTGGTGCTACGTCCACTCTCAGAACTGTTCTGTTTGAATATGTAGACAAGATTTTCGGCTCATATCGAAGCCATAAGATATTCCTTGTGGTCAAAGTGAAGCCTACATTTAAGGGTGTCTCAATTGCTTAATAGTATTAGGTACACACCTATATGGATGTCTTTAATCGGTTTGAGTGTTGCATGACTGAGAAGTCATGTGTCAAACGAACCGTAAACGGAATGTCATTGAAACCCCTTTACAGCCATTCGTAATAATGGTTGTTTGGGTATAATGCGACAATGTGATAGTTGGTCTGTAGGTTTGTAGCCGAAAAACTACATGTCTTCAGACCAAACATCAAGTTTACGCAACCAGCGTCTCGTTTTCGTGGTTGTGCAACAAATCCATTGGACTAGTTTATTTCCTGAGTTGGGTTGTCCATTTTTTTACGGTAGTGCAGTGAAGTGCGTGTTACAAGGTACTAATGTTTGCTTGTAATCAACTCAGTAGGTGTGTTGGTGCTACGTCCACTCTCAGAACTGTTCTGTTTGAATATGTAGACAAGATTTTCGGCTCATATCGAAGCCATAAGATATTCCTTGTGGTCAAAGTGAAGCCTACATTTAAGGGTGTCTCAATTGCTTAATAGTATTAGGTACACACCTATATGGATGTCTTTAATCGGTTTGAGTGTTGCATGACTGAGAAGTCATGTGTCAAACGAACCGTAAACGGAATGTCATTGAAACCCCTTTACAGCCATTCGTAATAATGGTTGTTTGGGTATAATGCGACAATGTGATAGTTGGTCTGTAGGTTTGTAGCCGAAAAACTACATGTCTTCAGACCAAACATCAAGTTTACGCAACCAGCGTCTCGTTTTCGTGGTTGTGCAACAAATCCATTGGACTAGTTTATTTCCTGAGTTGGGTTGTCCATTTTTTTACGGTAGTGCAGTGAAGTGCGTGTTACAAGGTACTAATGTTTGCTTGTAATCAACTCAGTAGGTGTGTTGGTGCTACGTCCACTCTCAGAACTGTTCTGTTTGAATATGTAGACAAGATTTTCGGCTCATATCGAAGCCATAAGGTATTCCTTGTGGTCAAAGTGAAGCCTACATTTAAGGGTGTCTCAATTGCTTAATAGTATTAGGTACACACCTATATGGATGACTTTAATCGGTTTGAGTGTTGCATGACTGAGAAGTCATGTGTCAAACGAACCGTAAACGGAATGTCATTAAAACCCTTTTACAGCCATTCGTAATAATGGTTGTTTTGGTGTGATGAAACAACGTATTGGTCTTGTGAGTGTAAGTTTTGTTTCTCTGGAATGTCTGTTTATTACACAACGTCTTAGCGTGATGCAATGTAGCTTCGTAATATCACCATTAGGTCGATTTATGTGCACTGGATAGACTGGTCTTCATAATTCTGAAATGGCTTATCTCATAATATTTTCACGGATGTCTATTGTTTTTTGGTACAATGCAGTTTTATGACTCAGTTTTGTGTTTCTAGGTGTTCAAATAGTTTTGCGTGCACTTTCGACTCCCTGTTATACCATTGCACATAATGCCGGGGTCAACGCGTCTGTTGTTGTAGAAAAAGTCATGGGCATGGGTCCAAATATGGGTTACGACGCTCAGAATGATGTGTATGTCGACATGATCAACGCTGGGATTATTGATCCCACCAAGGTAAGTACATATCCTTAAGCACTTTGGGTGAATCTGGGTATGACTTGTTAAATTAATTGCAATCTCTTCCATTTTAGGTCGTTCGAACTGCTTTGGTTGATGCAGCTGGCGTTGCTTCTTTATTGACAACTGCAGAGACCGTAGTAACTGATTTACCGAAAGAAGAGTCAGGAGCAAATGTTGCAGGAATGGGCGGGATGGGAGGTATGAGTGGCATGGGTGGTATGATGTAGTAGCGAACTACACACATTTTGCATTTTGACGATGTTTTTACATTGTAGTTGGTTAATTTTCGTAGATATTCCAATTGTTCAAAGTCCCTAATTTCCCCTCAAATATACATAATTGATTTGATTAATATTGTTATGCTTCTACAGCCTTGAACATGACTTGCGCCTGTAAAGGTTATCGAATTTCGCGTATAGAAGTATGCGTACAATTCGCATTTTTGTGCGACGAGATCAAGGGATTTGTTAGTCAACATATAACATGGCGTTTGTTGTGTGATTACTACGTGGTCTGCCGTATAATATTTTCGCATATAAGTTGACTTGGGAGGACTGTCCAGTCTTTATTAATCCACCGTTTTACCAGTAAATGTAACCCGCCTAAGCGACTTCTGCTGGGTTATTTTCTAGGGTTTAGCGGTTGTTATAACTGGAAATGTTAAGCTTCATGTCTTGACGTAGGGGTGTAGGCCTAGCATGCTTTGCGAGTTTCGTTCTCGACGGTGGGCTCACGTTTGACCAAATCAGTGAGGTTGGTTGAGGGTTATGCTAACATGTGGCGAAGTGTCATGTCCGCCCCTCGAGCAGAAGTTGGGTTTACCGCCAGTCCTTCAGTTGATGGCGCATAGTAGCCATCAAGAACAGAATATACGGGGATGCAATTATTTATTTGAACACATCTTGATATAAACTGGCGCCGACTGCGCATGCGTCACACTTCATTGGGTTTGTGTAAGGGCTTGGGTACTGTCCGGGTGCCAAAACCAGACTTCTGCCTCGGTTTCGTAAATAACCTCGTAGCAAGTAGGACTTCCCTGGCAGTGGTTGTATACGCATGACGATGTAGGAGTATTTGGAGAGGGAGAGCGAACTCCTCACCGTCGACCGTATAAGGGCATTTGCGCGCAGTGCTTATGTATATTGTACTAGCAAATAGGCAGTGTTGATGTAATGCTGCATTATTTATTCGAACAAATAATATTAGTACAAGGGGGGCACCATATATATATGCGCCACACAAAACAATGAGAATGGGACGGGAAAATGGTAAGGTGAGTATAAGAAAAAATATGACGCAATAGATTAGTGTGTTGAGTGTAGTAATAATAAAATTAATAACGGGAAAATAAAAGGTATAACCAGGAGAATTCTTTCAGTTAAGGAAGATACAACCACTTTTTATGAAGAAAATAAAATGTTACAGCAGGATCGCCATTGGCTTCTATTCTGAGCCATATCTGATAACGTCTCCAGCCATTGTGTAGCACCATAGTATAAAGCAAAACTGCTCTCACCGACGCGTTGTAGATCCGACCTTTTACAGCCAGACTAACATCACGAAGGCGCAAAAGGTGGCCCAGATTGGCATAAGCCGCTCTGGCTTTCACTATACGTGCATTGATCTCATCACTCACGCCACCACCAGCACTTATGCAGCTACCTAGATACACGAACTTCTCGACTACTTCTATTTGCTCACCATCCAGGGTGAGTACAGAATTAGAATCCTGCCAGTCTTGTAGAAGTACTTTGCACTTCGAAGGTGCAAAGCACATACCATACCTACGGACACTGGTTGCCAACTGATTAAGTACGGATTGCATGGCTTGGGCATTATCGCACAGTAAGACAATATCATCCGCATACTCAAGGTCGAGAAGTCTTTCTCCAGGCAACAGATTCACATCGCCACTACTTACATCCATCAGAACTGTTTCCAGAATGTCGTCGATGGCAAAGTTGAAGAGGAATGGGGAGATTGGACAACCCTGCCTAACCCCACTGCTCGAATGGAACAACGGAGAAAGGTGGTTGTATGCCCTCACTCTACCTGAGGTGTTTGTATATAGAGCTTTTAAGATGTTAATAAACTTCCGAGGTACACCCTTCTTCAATAGACAATCCCAGAGAACAGTCCTGTCCAACGAATCGAAGGCAGCCCTGATGTCAAGAAACACTACGATTGTTGGCCTTTGATAAGTATGGCGGTGTTCTAACATTTGGCGGAGGGTGAAGATATGATCAACACATCCTCGACCGGAACAAAAACAAGCATGCTCTACGCGAGTCAATCTTTCTCGGGTTTTGAACAACCTACGAAGTATGACGGAAGCCAATAGCTTGGACGCAATCGGAAGTAGACTTATCCCCCGATAGTTGTTACAGGAACGACGTGAACCCTTTTTAAAGATAGGTACAACTATCGACTCATTCCATGACGTTGGTACACTCTCTAATTCCCAAACCTTTGTAAACAACGTCGTCAATTCCTTAGTCAGAAAGTCACCACCATCTTTAAAAAGAACCGGAGGTAAGTCATCTGGACCAGGTTATTTGTAACGCTTCAAGAGTTGGAGTTCCTTGCGGACTTCCGCCTCATTTGGTGGATCAGTCGTCACCGACCATGGAGGGCAGGACAGTCTGACGATGATGCCGGTGCAGCAGACCAGTTGAACTACCCTTCGAAAAATACTGCCCATCGTCCAAGACGTCGATTTATTCACAAACAGTTAACACTCATAAATATATATATGGGTTTTTTCAACACTCTCACACTCGCTTCCCTGTGTGCTAGTGGATTTTTACTAATCATTAATAATATGCAATCTTTACAACTGGTGTACTGGCTTTTGAATAATCTCGAGTAAATTCATTCTCCTAGTAAGGAGATTTAGCCTGAGTAAATAATCAGTTAACGGGATACTGTTTATTGGAGTCAGATATATAGAGAAATTAACCTCTACAAGATAACAGATATTTGATCAAAACAAATTCGAATCAAAGGACAAGGTAAGATATTACTTGAAAACAAATAAACAAACTAGGCCACCGTGCAAATAATTATTTCAAAAAAAATCAAGTATTGCATTTCTCACAAAAGAAGATTAAAACAAAACAAAACCACATTTGAAAGACATTAATACTTCACATACGTACACAAACCAAATACAGACACGGGGTAGGAAAAAAATGATGGGAGTAAGTATATTAATGAAAAATACACATGGAACATGGGCAGTCACAAGAATATCACAATAGAAATGAGAAGGTGGTGGTAATGAAGAAGCTATCATAGCTTCCTATATCATCGACCTATACATAACATGCTGAGTAGAAAAAATTGTATTGATGCAACATAGACGATTAAATTTAGATCCGCGTACTTATCTACCTACACCTAAGAATATGTTTAAAGTTACATGATAATATGTACATATACGAAAGAGAATAACTAATAATTCCTTGTCTTTTTGTTTTATTCATTTGTAAAAAATAATGAATTAACTGTCAGCTTAATAAATCATCTATGTCACATTTGGATAATGGTTTTATCAGACTATTAGAATTTGATATATTTTGATTAAGCATTGTTGTTGGCACTGTAATTGATGATGTTGTCGGGAATAATTGATATGTAGTTGCATTTGGAACAGGTTTCATCATGTTAGACATTGCTGGATAAAGTGGTATAGAATTTAATGAGTTACAATTATTACTACTAGTGAATGGAATAATTGAATTAGGTAAAATAGTTGATTGTAACTGTTCAACATTATTATTCAAATGATAATATAGAGAGTTGCTATTGTTATTGAAAACACCGTTCTGTTCATATGATTGATGTTGAATAGTTGGTGGTGTGATTAAAGCTAAAGGTATGCCTGTACCTATACGATTTGATTGTGTAGTAGATTTATTCATCATATCAGATGTGCTATTGATTGCATTCACATTATATGATATTAAAGTATTTGTTATATCAATAGGTTTTGGTTTATTCATTGTCGTCGTTGTCATCAACTTCACTGGTCCAGCGCCAGCAGCAGGTTGTAGCAATGATGGTTCTGATGTTAAATTAGACGATAAACGTTCAATTTGATCTTGTTTAGCAGCTAATTGACGTTTTTGTTCTAAGCTTAGATTAGTACTTTCATTGGTTATCGAACCATTGACTCCTTGAATTGAAGATCTCGTTCCTGTAGATGATTTAGGCGATGTATTGTTACTGTTATTTGAATTTACAGTTAAATTTGTTGGTACAGGACTACGTTTTACGTATTGATCAGTATCATCCAAATAAGCGCAAATTATTCGAGTCATCTAGTCAAAATAAATAAATACAAACAGTAAACCATAACATTAAACTAAGAATAATGACAAACTAACAATTAGCTTCAAAGTGTTAGTAGCTACAGTTGTCTCACTTTCAATACGCTTGAGGATTCCTCGCCGACCACGGTTTTCCAGTGAACAGATGGGTCTCTAAGAATACGAAGAACAGTAATTCCTACCCTTTCATTTTGTTTAGATTAAAACCCACAATTCTTAGTGGTTATTCAACTGATGTAAACAATCCGACAACTTACCATTTTCCAAACAGAATGAACATAACTACATACATACATAACTAATTGATTGCAACAATCAACTTGACAACAATGAGGATAAATTATGAATTATATAGTGAGGACAAATCACTTAACTTCTTAGTAGACTTTATAAGAAATTCTTTAAAGATTTGGTAAACTAATATTATAACTTTTATTTTACCACTATGATCCTTTGTAATTTTAATAGTTTTTGCATTACTAACCTCTACTGAAGATTAACTCATCATAGGAAATTCTCTAAAGTTACCCATTTTGTCATAAAGAATTCAGTGGAAATTTTCTTTTTGATGAAATCATTTAATTAAGATTTATATTTGCATTTATAGTTGTTTGAGAAATCTAGTCTATAAGAAAAACGGAAGAGATTGCATCATACGGTGATTTAAGATATCAAAAGGAGGTTGTGTAATGGTCAAGGGGTTAGAGAAGATATAGATGGATGAAAATAGTTTACAAATCAGAAATATAAGAGATAATTGTCCACTTGAGCGATATGAAGAAAAATGAGAAACATATAGGTCATAATAACAATTGAGTAGTAATCATGAAAAATTTTTCGAGGATAATAATAACTGATCATAGTTTAAAAAATACAGGATAAAAAAAATACTGTAGAAGGGAATTAGGACCAAGGAAGGATCAGAGGTGGGACGTACCGCTTTTGTACGCGAAGCTTAAGCTTGAATTGGTGGGTCGCTAACGCCCGAGTAGTGTATGACTTTTTGACTCAATATCCTTTTGATCCAATTCTTGTGACTGTAAAAGACGACCCTTTTAGAGCAAAGTGCCCAGAGTTGATCAGGTGCTTCTGTTTTCAGCTGCGCACTCCCCTTCTAAAAACCATCTCCGGTGATATTATGAAACGTGTTTGGAAAGTGATCGCTTTGTGCAGCCAATGTAACCTGCCCCATAAGAGCAAGTAAATTTATAAATGCACATTGATATGGCTTAAAACGGAGGTTAAACCTTAACACAATCATGAATGGTAGGCCGGCATGAGAACACAATACGAAGCTTAGCTGAATGGGTTTTATTCAGGGATTTCGAAGTCGTTAATTCAAGATTTCGATAGCCATATCTCCTCTAAATACGATATTCATTAAAAGTTTTATTTTGAATTGTCAGTGCTCTTCCAGGACGCCTTGGCGTTAAGTTCGCATAGAAAAAATTTCGGTGGATAGCCAGTTCTAATGAGTGTCTGTCGAATTTGAAGTAGTCTATCATCTCTTGTGTCAGGAGAACATATACTTCTAGTCCTCGAAGATAAAGTGTGAATTAAGTTTCTCTTTATACCCAATGGGACTCAGATATGGAAATTCGTATACTGACCATTCCAGGTTGGCTTTTTATAGATAAGTCTTGTTAGGATGTGCAGAAAAATATACCAATAATTATCATGTTAAGTCCAATGGTGTCCTTGGACTTTAAATGGACATTTCCTATTGGTCGATATCTATTCACTTGTTGAATATTGTACAAAATGTTGTTTTCTATTTTTATGGTACGATGTGGTATGTTTGGTTAGTACATAAATAGAATATGTCTGAAATACAATGATTCATATTTCAGAGGCTGTGACTTGCGTTCTGGACTCAACTGGCTGGGCTAGACAGGGAAGCAGGGCCGATCGGGGCTCTAGGTCGTTCATTACGTTTCACTGCGGTCGATCGATATAAAACGCTGCTTATCAAAACCTGCAGTCACACACGTTACAACAATTGGCGATGGGATTCGAACCAACGCAGGGAAACCCCAATGGATTAGCAGTCCATCGCCTTAATCACTCGGCTACCCCTTCCTCCCCCGCGAAATAACCGGCAGTTTCACACACGTTACAACAATTGGCGACGGGGTAGAAAAAATGTTGAACCCTCTAATTGGACGAGATTCAGCCCAATTATTTTGACCAATCAGCGTCCGAATTTATCATCGGTGATCTTGGAAGCCATTGATTGTTAGTTGATCACAGTATTTCTCATTACCCTGCTGATTCAGAAAATGACTATCCTTCCTGATCAATAGCAGCTACTACTTGATCGCCAGCAGCAGCGTTTCAGAGAAAGCCAGTTGAATGTTTGGGATTATTTACGCTGCTTATCAAAACCTGCAGTCACACACGTTACAACAAGTCTTCACAAAGAACCAACTGGTTTTCGTTACAACAGGACAACGAAGAGATGAAATTCATTTTTTTTGCCTATGCTTTCCATGTAAATTCAATTTTGTGATGACATTTATTGAATTGATTCAAGGTTTCATTGAGACCTATATTTTATTTACAAATAATTAAAAGTGTCATCCATGTATCTCCCTTATAAATAAAATCTTTCAATTACTGGTTGAAGTACCGTATTTTCCAGATTACCTATGAAACAACTAGCCAAGAGAGGGACCATTAATGACTTTATTGTAACTCCATCAGTTTATCTATAGAAATTATTATTAAATTTAAATTGCACATTGAGAGTGCATCGAAGAAGAAATCTCTTCTATTTGTCTATAGGCATATTTTTATCGAAATATAAACACGGATGTACAAATTAAGTGAATGTTTTCATCGAAAAGATAATTTTTTTCTCTCGCTGAATTCCCTTTATTTTAATACTCTAAAGTCCTTTTAAGTTCTGTCGTCTTGACTACTAGTGGAATTTAACAGTATTGGGGATACGAGATACAAATATTACAGATGGCATGGGATGATTGTTGCAATGTTTCAATTTCTGCTGAAATTACAAATTGAAATTAATGAATGGACTCTAAATTAATGGCTAGAAAGTATCATGTTCAATGTGAGACTTAAACGTTCTGGGTTTTTATTATATGACAGGATTGAAAAGGCAAACTTTCATACTTTTACTCGTTGTGATTTTTGTACAACATTTTCGTTTTTTCTTTAAATTCAATTCGATGATTATTCAGTATAATATTTATTTTGTTTATCAAGTATGATAATTTATTCGGTATAATATTAATTTGATTGAGTGTAATGTTTGTTTAAGATACAATATTCTTGTATTCAATTAACATGGACTGTACTCAGCATGACATATAGCATGTGGTTTGTTATAGCTCTGGATATTTGTTTTTCATTTATGTGATTTTATTCTAAATAATAATCAAAATAGGTGTACAAACCAATATATAATAATGAGTGTATTTTCGACTAGAGTTGTCATCATGTTTTGTAGTGAATAAATCTTCATTTGTACCAGTTTTGTTGTTTTTATTTCGCGTCGTGGGAATCGCAGTGGTTCCTCGTTTTTTTTAAGTATAAATAATAAGCTATTCTGACAACAATTAACGACGATTAGTTATAACAATTGGTGACGAGGTCAATTTACAAGTTTCAGTTTTCAATATAACTGTCTGGTTCCAATTGTAACTTAGATTTCAGTTCAATTTAAACCAAATCCTGTTTCCTCAGTTATAAATATACTTCCGCTTTTATTTATCAGGTCGCTGTTACAACAACGATGTGGTCAGTGGTATAAGAACATGTCAATTTCAGTCGCAGAAGTGAAATCAATGCTTCAGTTTAATAAAGATGTGTTCATCATATCTCATTTAATGCTCATCAGCGCATTGAAGGAATATATGCGTAAATAATCACATCTGTAATTGGACTTAAAAACTGTAGGTATATTTTACCGAGATAACTGGTACATTTCCTGCTGCAATAAGGAGCAGTTTTGTGATTGAAGAGGTCAACAAATCCTTTAATAAGGTTAACTCTGGGCAATTTTCAAAGGTTCTTTTATCAGATTCATCTCATTCAAATTATCCAGTTACGTTGAATGAAATTCAAAATCATTGTGAGTCAATCAATTTTTTATAAATTTCTAATGGTATCATATCAGGTGCTGACTATCCTAGTGATTCATTAGTTTCTAATAAAGTCCTTCATGAATTTGAGAAAAATATTTCAAATGAATCAAATTCTGGCGGTATCATAGCAAATGTTGCTTGTTCTCACAATGTATTTGTTTCTAGTGAAGACCTTAGTCAATATGAAACAAATCCTCAATAGTTTCAAATCTAAATATAGTTCTGATGGTCTCATATCAAATGTTATTTATCCTCACAATCCATTCACTCCTCGTTAGTGTAAGAAATATGTTTTAAATGAGTCACATTTTAATAGCATTTCAGATGTTATTGTAGATATTGGGTGATCTCATATCTTATATATATCACGTAGAATCTTCACTCAATGCTATAACAAATGATTTGATATAAAAAGTATTTGTGAAACAGTCCCGAAACCAGAATGTCCAGGAGTGATGTTCACACAGTAGGAAAATTTAAATTTAGTCCACAAGTCTAACAGTCCAAAATTCGGGGTAAGGCTTGATGCCTATGGTGGTAGAAATGAGGATTTATGTAAGATGAAAGCGGCTGAACTAGACGTTGGCTTAAAAGTTCATGATTATCTTAGGAAAATGAGGTCAAATGAAGATAAAAACTGTGCGAATTTCATCTTGCCAAAAATATTACGTATGATCAAACTGTGTTTTTGGGAAATTGTTTGATGAGCAATCATCAGATTCCAGTATTCGTTATAGTTATCTACAAATACCCAGCGAGTCTTATGATATTTATCTTGCTTATTTGGACAAAGTGAATGTCACATACAAAAAGGTAAACCATGTTTCAACAACTCAAAGTCAGTCCAATATCAATATACCTGTACGTAGAATGCAGTCACATACTGATCCTAATGAGTATGAAGCAAATACGAATGTCCCGTTCACATGCTTTGGAGACAAAGCGAGCCTACATGAATCACATACATTGTTACTGACAAATTGAAATGTAAAATGTGCTTATTCATATTATGAATGGAATAATGGCATCGTATTTATACATATGAAAGTTGAAAGCACTACCATGATAGTACTACACATACAGGTAGAGATCATATAAAAAGATCTTTCAAACATTATGCATACCAGTCGTAACATATTTGAACTCGAATCAGGTCATCAGTAAATACTGATGTATAGTTTGAATCTATTAGCGAACACTTGAGATCCGTAATCCGTGACGAATACTAAAATTTAAAAAACAGTCGACTGAAAACACTGACTGTAGTTTAAATTCTAGAGAACAATCTTACCAAATCTGAACAGGAATTGGATATGGCCCAGACACTTTCATCGATATTACCAATTCTTATCATGCTATAAAGTAGGGAAGAAAGAAGTATAAACATGGTCAATATGGAAGAGACGAAAATATTCATTGTAAAACAAAGTTAGAATCAACATAGAGCCTGAAACAAATATACGATAGTTTAAGTTGTTACTCGTAAACTTATACTTGTAAAAAAAACAATTGAAAAGTAATACAGTCACTGTTAATATGATATGAAATGCACTAACTAAAATGTGCAATTGCATTCTTCCTTAAATACTTTATATCCACTTGAACAGCAAAATCATTAGGAGGTACTTAAGTTTTAACTAAAAAATTATTACTAGCAAAAGCTGCAACCTGTTGATGTACATTAGAATGGAAAATTGGTCGAATGATTTAGCTAATTGATGTGAACTAACAAGAAAAAGAATTATTCCAACTATGTAACAGTATGATTAACAATGTCCTATTTCATTGATCAACAATGTATAGTTTATTCATACTTAATTAAGCCTTTTTCTATCATGCTATTAGACTTGAAGAACTTGGAAATTTTAATTATAGTTTATCTGCTGCAGTGTATGCTACTTATGTTGACAGATATAAGTAGTATGTAACGCCAATCAGAAGTGGAATGCCTGGCAGCAGAAGATTGATAAGATCCAATTGAAGAGAACAAGAATCCAAACAGAGAGCAACTGTTATAACAACAAAATTGAAAGAATGATGAAGCATGTAAAGTAAAACTCAGAGAAAATGTGCAAATAATGTATTTAGTGTATGGTTTTCATATTTTACGAAGACAATCTGAAATTTTGTATTCAACAATAAATTGGTTTTCCCCACCTGAGTTCTCGTTCATTACAAGTGGACGAAAATAACATACTTGAACTAGATTATAAATCAGAAGTTCGATTGCTGCATCTCTGGTGATTGATGAAGGAATATATAAGAAAACTAGGATCCTAACCAGTTAGAGATATAAATTTACCAGCATTTATATGGAATAATCACCAAGACCTATGATGCATTGAATACTATCTTATAGAAATTACTCAATAATGTGAAAATTTCGATATTTTCAAGAGCTCTGATAACTGATTAAACCGAAAATACTGAACAAACATAAGACAATGAGGTTGAAGAAAACAGGTTAACATTAAAATGACTGATTACAAGGGTTTGAAGTTGCATAAATGATGCTAAAATACGAATGATCCTCAGAGGATCTAACGAGCTCGGCCTATAAGCAGTTCGTATGACTTGGTTTTTTAACTAATTATGTAAATGATTGTCAGTCAGTCAGTAACAACGTAGAACTTCGTACGTACGTACATCAGTTCGAGTTGCCACACCACATTAGCACAGAGATGCAGTGTTCGATTCAAATCCCACAGTGGTAGTGTAGTGAACAAGAACACGGGTGGGGACAATCGAATGTATGTAGCACGAAAATTACAGACTATCTCAACAAAATCTGAATACCATAAAGTCAATCGTCAATTTGCAAATTATCAATGCATCATTATCAAACTGTACTGTTCAAGTTGCAAACACTAATCCATCGTCTCTCATTTCATTGTTCATGCGATTTCTTACAAATTCCATTGCGTTCTTGCTCTTCTTTTCTTGATCTTCTCCATTTTCTGCTGCCAGACATTACATCCTTTAACGCACGTTATATACTACTTATGTCAATATAAGTAGTTCACACTACAGTAGAGGTAATAAGAGTACAAGCAGTAATCGGGATGATTAGGGTTTGGAGATGTTACTTAAAGAGTATAATACAGTGAAATAAATTTGGGGAGAGAAAAAAAAAGAGACAAGGAGGAATCAGGAGATTAGAATTTGGAAGAACACAAAGAGTGGATGCACCTGCGCCATTGCAATCGATTTTGAGCCATGTCATTCAGGGTCTCTAACCATCGGTTGCTATCATCTCGCGGTCCACAACCAGGTAGTCTACACCTAACAACATGACTCAGACCACTTGTCAGTGACTTCATGGACTTGTGCCATGTTTTGGTCTGGCGGCCCCTAGCTTTCTTCAAACCTACTCCTACACTGTAAAACATCGCACGTTGAGGCAGTCAGTGGTTAGGCATACGTAACAAATGTCCCAGCCATCTCAACTGATGAAGTTTCACTACGTCAACAATTGATTTGCTATCCTTACCTAATACCCGTTTCCTAACAACTGCATTACTTACTCGATGGTCCCATGATATACGAGCAATGTTTCGAAGACACCTATGATCGAATACTAGTAACCCACAAATATCCTCTACTCTTACCGGCCACGTTTCACTGCCATAAAGTAGGACGGACGAACTGCTGAGCAGTAAACACGTCCTTTGGTTGATAGATGGATATCTCGCCTACACCATAAATGACGCAAGTTCGCAAAAGCGAATCGAGCCTTCTGTATCCGTGCTGAGATTTCGTCACACACCAGACCACAAAGGCTGATGAGACTTCCAAGATAAGTGAAGCGATCGACACACTCAACTACTTCACTCCCTATCACTAGTTCGGGTGTCGATGCAATCCAATCCTGAAGCAACATTTCGCATTTCGAGGCGAGAATCGCATCCCGAACATGCTTGCATTGTTGCTTAGAGTGGTCAGAAGACTCTGCATTTTGTCAGCGTCTTCACCAAATAAAACTATGTCATCTGCATATTCTAAGTCAACAAGTGAACCTCCCGGTAGAAGTTCAACCCCTGGAAATTTAGATGAGGAGAGTGTCATCTCTAAAAGTACATCGACCACAAAGTTGAACAAGAATGGGGAGAGTGGACAGCCCTGACGAACACCACTTGATGTAATCAATTCTGATGACAGTTCGCCATAATCTCTCACTCTACCAGTTGTGTTCGAGTAGAGAGCCTTTACAAGGTTAATGCACTTCTTTGGTACTCCTTTCAGTGACAAACACTGCCATAGAACCTTACGATCAACAGAGTCGAATGCCGCCTTAAGGTCGAGAAATACTACCATTGTCGGGCATCTAAACGTGTGTCTGTGTTCTAGAACCTGACGTAGTGTGAATATCTGATCTATACAACCACGTCCAGGTCGAAAACCGGCCTGGTTTTCTCTAATCTGCTCTTCACGAGCTTTGATTAGGCGTCGAAGTATTATTGAGGCTAATATTTTAGACACTATATTAGTCAAACTGATTCTTCCGTGATTGTCACAAGAGGACTTTTGTCCTTTCTTATAAACTGGCACAATCAGTGATTGAGACCAATCAGATGGGATTACGTCCAGTTCCCAAATTCTACCTAAGACCTCGGTTAATTTCATTGCTAATACTAGACCACCATCCTTAAAAATCTCAGGAGTAAACCTGTCAGGGCCTGCTGCAGACGCAGACAGATACGCGCTCGCACTAGAGCATGATCTTAATCTAAGCATGTGCTCCAGAATGAGCGACAGTCTTCTATCGAGCCCCTCCATCGGTGGCTGATGGCGATGTGATCTATTTGGGTCCAACGTTGGGACGAATTAGGGGGTCGCCATGTTAAAAGATGTTTTTCCTTATGCTTAAAGTTAGTATTTGCAAGGAACAGTCGATTATCTGAGCATAGCTGCAACAGACGGTCGCCATTATCTGTTCTTTGAGCCACGACACCATAAGATCCACCTAGGTGTCTTTCCCTATCGCTTAGTTTACCTACTTGAACATTAAAGTCACCGGCCACTATCACGACATTCGAACGCCTAGCTTTTTGGAGAAAGTCGGAAAGCTTTCCGTAAAATTCATCTTTTAGATCATCTGCGCTGCAGTCACTGGGAGAATATGCAGAAACGACGAAGAGGCAACGACGAGTGTCCCTATCTTTCCGGATTCTTACTGTTCCGTTCAGTCGGACAGCGCACAAACGGCTGCCTATTGCGATCCACTCTAAGAGAGATAGTTCTGCTCTCGGACTCAATAATATACCTACGCCGGCAAGGCCACGGGAAGCAGAATCAGGGCATCCAGAAACACGAAGCGTTAATCGAGTTGGTTTGGCATGGTGACGTCAAATGAATGACGCTACTCAAATCCTGTATGCGCGTTTCGGAGACGCAGCACACATCGATGGCGCGGGATTCTAAATTCCTAGCTAAGGAAGCCTGCTGTCGTATTTGGCACAGTGTTCGGACGTTAAAAGCTCCTACGTGTAGTTTAGAGCGTGGTTTCAGGAGACCAGGAATAGAGTTCCACGTACTCCAATCGTTTGCCCTAGCGGTGCGAGATGATAGAGACGTGAGGAGGGTTAGTCATGGAGATAAGAGAGCTATTAGGAGGTGTAGGAAGGATTTGAATGTGACCAACTTGGTTTCGTGTGCTGTTACGGGTATGAGGGCTGATGTCACTTCCCGGCTGCCCACACCGTGGAAGGGTATTTCCTGAGGAACCTGTAAAAGAAGTCGGGTTAGTATTGGTCTTAACGACCTGGGAGCGTGACCACAGAGCCCAAGGGACAACTGCTTGAGGCCTGTCGCGCACGGCCCTTTCGTGGAAGGTTTTTAATGTGTTAGGTCAGTTCTTCAAAGGGCCTTACCACCGGAGACCGAAATCCGTGAGGTAAGGTGAGGTGTGACATTTTTAGAGTCGACCTTTTCGAACCCCACCCCTCTTTGTTGGAAGGCAGCATCGCTGTAGATGCTGGTTGCCCGAGAGAAACACCTTACTGCTGTCTCACCTCTCTACAGTCAGCAGTACGACTTCGCCCTCAGACCTTGAGTTGCTGCTTTTAGTCTTACCGTTCACCAATCGACCTGCCTGGCATGGTAGAACCTACAGGAACATATGTTCCAGTCAATATAGCTCGGTTGGGTCATCACGATAGGCAAGCCCGACCACCGCGTGAAGGTAGCAGCTTCGGTCGGGATGCAAATGATATATCAATGTTTAATGGTCACAATTACTTCCAATTCATAAATTCAGAATAAATCCAAATATATTTTTCTTTACCTGTCCTCATCAGTTGCAGCACCATGCAATTGCTCTAATTTAGCGTATTGTTCACGTTCCAAATATGAACACATATCTCGTATTAATGATGCATAAGCGCTGTACTGCTTTAAATTTAAACTGCTTTCAATGGATAATGGGATAAGATAAGGCAATACTTTGTTAGCTAGTTTTTCTCGACTGATGCCCAGTTTCTCATGACTAAACGCTAAGCGATATATACCTGTATAATAGGGGGGGGAAGAGACAAACATAAAGAAACCTGTAGTTAGCAAACAAAGTTTCAGTATTTATGTTCACTGGTATTATTTAGCATAAAACCGAGATAAAGTGATGATTGTAGGAAGTGACCTAATGTATTAACAATGTTTATCGGGGCTGGTGTTTGAACGGAGTGAATATTAGAGTAACCTTAAATTTTGGAACTGTTTTAAGTTGAGTAATTATTTACATTTTTACTCTGTAATTTTTAAGTAACTAAATTATATCTGTATATAAACTGTATTGTAAGTTTCCATTAAACCCACTAACTATTGCTCCATATTTTACTATTCATTAATTAATGCTATTAACGATTCACCTTTTGCTCTATATTCGGTCACTTATTACTTGGTTGTGAATTGTTATGGTTGAAGAGATTACCAGTTCACTTAATCTGAAAACGGAACGAAGACTGTGAAACAATGACAGATGATCTAGATATTCCATCGCGACCCAGCCCAGCTAACTAGAGAGAGAAGTCCAAGTTTGGAAGAGGGAAGCACGAACAACAATAACAAGAGTACTTGGAAACACACTAATTTATATATCGATTCATACACCCATTTTTGATTAATAATTAGGATTAAATCACATATATGATAAATACTTGGGGTTATAACAAATCATATGATGATTATAGTTCATGTTAATTTAATACAAGAATATCGTTATGATATACCGAATAAAATGTCATACGGGATAACAGAAGCTAATAATACATTGATTAATCCATATATTGAATTAAAACGGAACTAATCTTGAATAGAAACCATGATGTGTAAATCAAGTGAATTTTGACTTTTCATCACGTCATATCATGAATAAAGTATGACTTCTTATTTGGGGTTCTTTTTGGTCTGATGATTCATGTATGCAAATTGCAACGTGTCACAAAGTGTTGGGTCGCAAGAAGCATCATCATAAAGAATGAATCTCTATCCAAACCCAAAGACAACAATTGACAACAGCCGAACAAGAGCAGTGTGGGCCAAAGCACAAGCTGAATATAAAGAAGCAAACGAGATAGTGAAGAATAGCATTAGAGCCAACAAGACCTAGCAGCGACAGCAGGAAAAGCTTCAGGAGGAAATATGAGGCAACTATATGACACAAATAAGAAACTGGAACGAAAATATAATGAACCAGAGAGACCAGTTAATGACAGAGAAGGCAAGCCAATCAATGAGATTCAAGAACAGGGGAAAAGGTGGATAGAACACTTTGAAGAACTCTAAAATAGACCAGGTCCACTGAACAGACCACACGTCGAAGCAGCACACACAGACGTCCCTATAAATGTCACCCCAACAATGATCGAAGAAACCAGGATGGTCATCAGGTAAAGCAGCAGGAGCTGACAACATACCAGCTGAAGCGCTGAAGTCAGACATCAAAGTAACTGAAGACGAGCTTCACACTCTATTTAGAAAGATTTAGGAGGAACAAGTGCCACTGGCAGACTGGAAAGAAGGATACCTCATCAAGATACCAAAGAAAAAAGATCTGAGAAAATTTGAGAACTACAGAGGTATCACACTACTGTCAGTAGCAGGAAAGGTTTTCAACAGATTGTTGCTGAACCGGATGAAAGACTCAGTAGACGCCCAACTTCGAGATCAACAGACCTGATTCCGTAAGGATCTGTTGTGCACAGGCAAAATCGCAACAATACGGATCATTATTGTGCAATCAATTAAATGTGGTTCGTCGCTAAACATCAACCTTCTCGACTATGAGAAGGCGTTTGACAGTGTGGGTAGCAGGACATTATAGAAACTTTTTCGACACTATGGAGTGCCTGAGAAGATCGTCAACATCGTATGGAATTCATACGGTGGAATACAGTGCAAAGTTGTGCATGGAGGACAGACGACAGATGCATTCAAGATGAAGACTGGGGTCAGGCAAGACTGCTTACTCCGCCCCCCCCCCATCCTATTTCTTTTGGTGGTCGACTGGATTATGCGGACCTCGACATTTGTGGGAAAGCACGGAATCAATTGGAAGATTTGAACTTCATAAATCACCAGATGAGAGGTGGAAACTTTCATATACCTGGTCAGCATCATTGATGAACAAGAAGGAGGATTTGATGAAGATATAAAGTCGTGGATTGCCAAAGCAAGGACAGAGCTCTTAAAATTGAAAAGCATGTGAAACTTAAAACAACTGTCAGCCAACATCAAAGCTAGAATCCTTAATACGAAAGTCAAGATAGTTATACGGGGTTGAAACTTGGAGATCTACTAAGTAAAGTAAGTTGGACAATGATGAAGTGTTAATGCAAATAAGCTACAGAGTGATTGAATGAAAAAGATATGATCTAAAGTCTCCAATTATTGTATAAAATTACTATGAGGACCCAAACGAAATATCTCACTTTCCAAAATGACTGAGAGCATCAATTCATGAACAAATTTACTGTCTAGGTTTGGTTGAAACAGTTTTCCAAGCTGTTTCTTTACTATTTAGGAGTACACGTGGGTTCACCTATAACACAACTTTAAATCACCTCAGTAGATCTATGATAAAGGCTTGTTCATTCGGTTTACTACATTTAACTAATCCCATTTACTTAACCCTAGCTTTACTAACTTGATTCTACCATACGCTAGAGACATTTTAAAGGCATCAACAGTCAAATACTAACAACCTATGATTTTTCTAAACCTTAAAAGATATTTAATGGTCACGAGGTAATATAGAGGAAACTGCTGCACAGTATACTCATCTTTTAGTAGGTGTACAAATAGATTTTAAGAGTATTGCATTTAGAGAATGTAAAGACTACCCGACGTACGATTTTAAGTCATTTATTGAGATGACCGCATTACAATTCAGTAGATAGAATTCCTTTAACACTTAAGGTCAGAAAACTTGGTAATGATTAATACTTAGAGATCGATCAAGTTAACCAAGTCAGTTCTATATGAAGTCAGTCACGATCCATAAAGCTCATAGGGAACCAAATGGAGTAACATCTGAATCCCATGGAAGTCACCAGTTCACACATATGAGTACCAACCAGCATGAAACTTTGCAGAAAAAGAGAGTTTGATACACTGAACAATGCAATAGATATACAATTCGATGAATATAGTTTAAAAAGAACAATTATTAGCTCTAAAAGAAATAGTGAACTTGCCCAGTATAGCTATCAAAACAGTTGGTTCACGTGATTTAATTTGTTGTAAAAATGGAAGAATATCATCCATTACAATCCATTTGTCTAAATGATCTAGTAATTTTCCAATGCAGAGAAGACAATTCATACGTGTCTACAATGAAGCGAAAGTGGATGATATATATAAGGACCTAGATTTATGGGTTAAACAAATAAAGAACAATCTACAGAAAATTTCAACCAACAAATAACGTTAGCTAGAGTATCTATTTAAAATGTGAATCCCATCTGATCTGGGGTCGTGGTGCTCACAATCGTAAAAGGTTGAGGATTAGATCATAATAAATATTCAGGGCATCGTAGTTCCCAGTGGTTTTCTAGCTAACATCAGTTCATTATGAAAATTAAATACAAACCATAAGAATGTTTCTACAAAAATTACTCCTCGATAATGGTAATAACAATAATAATTAAAATAACCATATACTCATTATTGACTAGTTTTCGGATACAGTTCTTAAATTTTCGATGGAAAGCTGTGACCTGTGAAGTTAAAGGCATCTGAAGTATAACGATAGCTTATCAATGACAGTAAGCGGGGATTGTACTATATCAAAAGTTTAATGAGTTTGAAGATTTAGATCAATAACAGCTTATCATATATAAGAAATAAACTACAAAGAACGTTGAATAATTTACGGGAAGTGGTACTAATCAACTAGTCTCTATATGGACACATAAAAAATTTCCTTGGTTCTGCTTTCCACATATTTTAACGTTTAATAAATATTATAGAAGAAATCAATAAGCGGGACATGAAATACATAAATGTTCTTTTTAACTACATACAGAATGATAATATCTAGTCTACCTAATGCTTTAATGTAATAGACTCATTAGAAAATAATTCATAGAAAAGAAATTGACAGTAGTTATCGGTTTATAATCAATCCGTTAATTAACTTATAGTATATTGATAAAAGTGGTTAGTTTCATCACAGAAGTAGCACAGAGAGAGGGGATAGGCAGGGAATAAAATTATGATATCGATATGTGAGAGTACAATAAAAGCCGCAATCAGAGAGCAGAAAAACCAAACAAAGGATACGTGATTATTCGATTGTAGAGTAGTTCGATCCGTAGAGTAATATTTAAGACACCCGGGTATGCAACCAATGGGGTTGTAGCTTAAAATCTCACTATACTAGTTTGGACTACTGTACTCGGTCAGCGTACCTAATAATCTCATATACAACAAAGTGTGGTACACGAATTTGTACTTAATTAGTGAGTCACACTAGTTGAAATTCATTTGATTTAAAAGATTAATTACGCATTATATATAACTGATTGATCACTGAGTAGTGGCTAATGTCATGCTTGTTTAGTCATTTAGTGCTGATCGAATTCCATAGAATAAGTTGCAACGTAGTCGACAGGCTAAGTGACTCAGTATCACCCAAACTCTTTTGAGAAGTTAGGTAGTTGAATATGGTAGGTATGAAACCTTTGACTTGTGTTTCGTGCTAAATGACGCTTGTCAGCAAGGCGTACCTGTGATCGTGACTGTACTTCAACAGCAAATGCAATATGATTCAGTGCAATATCATTGAGGAAACTGAATAGTCACAGAGAAAACGAATGTAACACTTTTTACTGGCTTACAACAATCGATTAGAGGAGTGACATAATGTTTTAATATGAATCTGTTGAATTTTGTCAAGTTCAGCAGAACCTAATACTTGTTCATGTGATTTATATTTTACATAGAATATGCGTATCTATACATCCAAAGGTATGTAGTGTGTGAAACTACAAAAAATAATGGGACAAAATACACACCATTGTTTACATATAAAGTGGAGTATTTAACACTAGAGTGCAGTTGAATGACCAATCAAAATAATATAAGCAAAGATAGATAGTGGCTAGCAGTGGAATCCAGGACGCGCGTTTCGTCCTGTTTGGGACTCGTCAGCTGGATGTACCTGCATCTCAGAGTTGATGTCCACTCTGGGACTCAAACTCAGTACCGTTCGCTTCAAACGCCATCGCATTATCCACTTAGCTAATGAGTCCTTGTAAATTAAGGCAGTATCGAGGCATACGCACAGTATGCACAAATGCCAATAAGAGACTGATCAATCTCAGTCCTAAAACATCAATGGGAAGATTCAAGTAAAACAATATCAAGTGAATTAATCAAAATAATAATCCAAATGTTTGATATCAAATGAAAAACTCATTAGGTTGGTTATTTAGTTGCTATATGTTAACAAATAACTTTGTTATTGGTCAGTTTTACATATCAATGAGACAGTTAAATGAAACATTGTAAATTGAGACGATGATAGGTTTATTTTCTATATGGTTTTAACACTATCTTAGGAACTAATCACTGACTTTTACAGCTTTTATTTTGTAAGTTTCAGGTGATGAGACGCTTAGAGAGATTTACAAGGACTTCACTAACTAAAATCATCATAAGACCTAATTAGTATTTTCAGAACAAATTGGTAAGTATTGTGTTCGTGACTGCTTCATAGTTAGACGGCATGCGAACAGTGCCAACTTGTCACCTGTGGAGTAGGAGAGATTCCTGTTTATCAACAGACGGATGTGTATACTGAGCAGTAGTTCGTTCTGTTCTGCTTTATGGCTTTAAATGGTACACTTTAAAAGTGCAAGATATACGTAGGTAACTAATGTTTGATCACAGATCCCTTAGAATTATAGCTCGCATATGCTAGGACCACCGAGTGAGCATGTTGAGTTTAGACACAGGATACGGAGCAAAGATGGTGAATCGATTGGTGAGTGCAGGAGCAGGTTAGAAGAAAGCTAGGGGTATCAGTCCATGGACTCATTAACTATTGGACTGAGTCATATATGTAGGTGTTGACTGCCTACTTGTTGGGGATGTCAGATCCCCAGAACTCACTTGGTAAATACCTTATTTTTGTAATTCTATTTTAAAAATTTGAATTTTTACCTTCATGTCGTATTTCCCACTTGGGAGGATCGTAAACACTACCAGTTCATTGTATCTTTTATTATGCTATTTTGTAACGCTTCCCAAGGATATTTTGATGTATATATACGCTTGATCTGTGCTTGTTATCGTTCGTGCTTCTGGTTGCTTTGGGAAAATATTTCCCTCTTCCGAACTTGGACTTTTCTCTCTAGTTAGCTGGGCTGGGTCGCGATGGAATAGCTAGCTTATCTGTCATTGTTTCAAAGAGTCTACGTTCCGTTCTCAGATCAGGTGAACTTGTAATCTCTCAAAACGTAGCACCACTTGAGATTGGGATCCACACAATCTTCGTTTCTCATGTTTCGAGACACTAAGTGACATAACTCAGAATTGATTTCAATGGTGCAGAAGCATTCATTATTTGTTTTTCCTTGGACCATAAGTTTTAAACTTATCGTGACATTGAATAGGCCTAATCTTTTCTACTACTAATATTGCTGTTACTACTGCTACCACTACACTAATTATTGTCTGGCTAATTTCATCGCGCTTTGCTGATGCGGTGTGGTAACTTCAGCTGATATACATATCTGTTGGGCCATATGTTGGTTATAACTGACGGGATAATCTTCAGTAGCGTTCAACAATATTCTGGCAGAACGGTAAGGAAATTCAAATTCATCAGATGTTTGGAGACCTTTGATAAAAATATATTTATAACAGGAAAGTTTACTGTAACCGCCTTATTTCCTTAAGATTAGAAATCTTAAAATTTGAAAGTCAGATTCCCATCACAGATGTTACCTTGACACGATGATTGGATTTGGGTAAAGTATTTTTTATACAAGCTATATTGACTGTAACTTATATGTGACTGTAGCGATCTACTGTTATGTAAAAATAACTTTTTAGAAACCAAATCAACATTATTCAGATATGCATTCATTAAGAGTTCCATAAAATACGTTTATACATTTATCACAGGAGTGTCTATAACTTAGCATATCACTTATAACAAGATGACTGACATAGAGGATTCCTCTGAATAGATAAAAAACAAAAAAATTCTAACTAATTAAAATTTCGAGTACAGTTTCTATCAAAATGGATAAAGCTCCACCCGTAAATTAGAATTTGTACAATTTGACTCTTGTAGTTCAACCTTTAGTTTTTTTTTGAAGGAATTCAAAAATTAATGTTAATTGTCATTTATTTGAATGATTCAAACACACCAACTAGTTGAACATACCTGATTACTAAGCCACTTCCAGTTATCGTTCTTAATTCAAATAACGATATATCAATATTGTTGATGATGACAGGTATAAGGGTAGTATATCACAATTGATTGATCACTGGGTGGTGATCAATGTCATGCGTGTCAAGTCCTTATTAGTGCAGATCGAATGCTATCGACCAAGTTGTAATGTGGCCACCAGTCTAGGTGACTCGCCACTGCGTTCACTATGTTGAGATTAGATGGTGGTTGGAGGTAGTCGACAGTAAACCCTGGACCTGGGTTTCGTGCTACATGGCACTCGTCAGCAAGGTGTACCTGTGATCTTGAGGGAACTGGTGCTTCCTGACGGATTCGATCCCGTGTCACAGCTTCACAGTCAGAGACGTTACGACTGAACTATCCGGGCCGCGACCGACCTCCTGTAGGACTGAGATGTAATCACAATTGATTGATCACTGGGTGGTGATCAATGTCATGTGTGTCAAGTCCTTTATTATTATTTTTATTATTACTATTATTATTATTATTATTATTATTATTATTATCAGAATGGGTTTTGTGGAGATTTTAGAAATTTCACAGATTGAAATCATGAGTCAGTTGAAGCTAGACCACCATTGAAAACCTGGAAGCACTGGACGGCCGTTTCGTCCTAGTATGGGACTCCTCAGCAGTGCGCATCCACGACCCCGCACCACCCGGGGCTCGAACCCAGGACCTACTGGCTTCGCGCGCGAGCACTTAACCATTAGACCACTGAGCCGGCATCCAACGGTGTTAATGTCTAACTTCAACCAATCCACGAAGTTGCGCTACCGTACACCATTGTCCTCGGTGAGTTTCTATCTCACAACAGACCTGGTTGAACTCCACTGGTAACGACTTCTCACTAGGACTCCAGAAGTGTCTCCTGAAGTCAGTCACTAGTGAGCAGGTGATTATTATTATCAGAATGGGTTTTGTGGATATTTTAGAAATTTCACAGATTATTATTATTATAAGAGTGGTATATCAAATTAACGCAATAAACAGTAGAAAAACTATTTGAGAACATTTATAATAAATTAGTTTCAATTATAATCCAATGTATTCTATATGCATAGGTCAGTTACAAGTCGACCACACAAAACATGAAAGTATTTAAACTACACAATGATCCTTGAAGTACTTTAATTATTCGTTATTTAGCTAATATTAACGGTGTTAATGATAATAAAACACAATGACTTTTTAAGACACTTACAGATAAATATTCTGTGGATAAACATAAACGTTGTATTCGTGGAATGAGAGAACTTCTTAATACAGTCAAATCCATTGCTTTTCCAATAGTTGGTAAAGATTTAAGACATAATTCCTAGAATATGATGACGACAAGACAACAGATAAAACATGTATACAAAAAATAGGTTCTTAATAATTAAAAAAATAATAGTGGTTAGAATACAAATATTTGAAGATTAGTATTGTTTGAGAATGGTTTCCAACATATTGTAGCGGACTATCTTCTAGATAATTCCTAAGGCTTCGTATATAATTCATCCTGATAACTATTACTAAATAACTACCAACGGTGAATACATCTCAGAAGACAATACGAAGCGCTGACTACAGTTTATTATTGGACTGAGTAGATCACTAAGTGACAAGCACACAAAGGGAATTCGAACAGAAATGCGAATGTGAGCGAGCGAATTAAGAGTCGAATGAATTAATAAGATTCAAAGATATATATAAACGTAGCCTCCACTGGGCTTACCTCTTTCTCTGTTGAGAGGTTTGTGATAATTCGGAACAAGAAGACACGTTCACATTTTCCCTAAATCATTGTAACGTTCCATAACATTAATTTTACTCCCAGTGTGACATTTTTACACAGGGTTTATAAATAGTAATGGGGACCACTACAGTTCCCAGGACGGAAGGTAAACACAAAAGGCCGGCGCAAAATGAATATTTATTGACTCTCTAAAAACAAGTTCGCAAAACAAGTAGTTTAAAATCCCGTCATTTAACTAAATATTCCTGGTTCCTTGATACCTCTCCAAACTACATGCTAGAGCTCGCAATGTTCGGAACCTATGTCAAGTAGGCCAATAGGCCTTTTTAGATAGGACTTTAGATGTTGCTTCAGAACAGGTCTGCGCCAGCGCCTGAACTAGTGGTCGGGAGCAGCGTATTTGAGCACACCGACCATTTTACATACCTCAGAAGTTTCATCAGCACTGATAGGTTGGCATGTGATATAGTCACGGAAAGAATCCAGGAAGCCTGATTGGCGTTTGAGGATTTGTGTTGTCTGTAACGTAGTCGAGGCATCCACCTACTAACTAAACGACTACTACGCTACGCAGCAGTCCACTCCATTCTAATTTATGGGTATGAAACATGCCCTTTAAAATAGAGGATATTCTCGGTTTACTAGTATTCGATCATAGGTGTCTTCGAAACATTCCTCGTGTATCTTGGAACCGACAAGTGAGCAGTATTAATGTCAGGCTTAGAATAATAGGTGAAGATGAAAAACTGGTTGATGAAGTGGTAAGTCTTCACCAACTAAGGTGGCTGATACATGTGTCACGTACTCCCACCTACCGTCTACTTCGATCAGCGATGTCGCTCAGCGCATGAGTACGTTGGAAGAAACCTAGGGGTTGCCAAACAAAAAGACTGTATTAGTCCATCAAGACACTGACTATTGAACTCAGACTTGTCAACATATGAAGAGTAACTAGTTTCGGTATGCAGAATTATTGTAAAAAAATGGTCGGAAACTTGAATGACACGGCTCAAAATCGTTCACAACGATCCAGGTGCATCAACACCTTTTCTCTCCATATACCTCAAATTTCTAATTTCTTCATAGTTTTTTTTATCATCTCACTAATTTAGATTTCGAATCGTATCCTCGACACTGATATTTCCTACTACTACTACTACTACTATCACCGTTACTACCTCTACTACCCAAAGATTCATCCTGACAACTAGACCTCGCTATGCTAACAGGCTATGACAACTTGAACCAATGTACGCATAAGCCAGTGTCTACGTTCTGTTTGACTGACTGATGGATGTAGCGTCTTAACTTTCCAGACAAAAGCTGGTAGCAGAATGAAGTAAAAACCTATTAATCCCTTGAATATGTTAACCGGCAAGAAACCCCGAAAAAATGTTGATATCACGTTAAGGAAGTTATGAGTTTAAAGAAGCCGAACCAAATAAGAATAAACCCATATGGACGATACTACCGCCAAAACTTCGAAAAAAGGATGGTTTTGGAACGGAGAAGAGTAACTGGAGAAGATGGAACTCATATAATTACTATAGGATAAGTTATTACATCTATTTTTACCATGTAATTGTTAAGTACTTTATTCATGGTGTTTCCATATTGTCCTATTCATGTGCTTTTATTTAATGAGTTAACAGATGATATATGTCATAATATTCAAAAATTATTATTAATTAATTACGGACCTAACTCCGCCTGGAGTCCCTCCGGGGGCTACTGCCGGTCCCAAGCCCGGATAAAGGAGGAGGGTTGGGCATGGGGTTAGCGTCAACATCCCATAGAAAACTAACTCGCTAAAAAAACACTAACCAGGAAAAAAATTATTCAAACCTTTTAAACTTTGCCCCATGAGTTAGAAGGTCTTCATTTAGAAGAACTATGACGCCTCATGATGAAAGCCGAATTACTTCGGAAGTTACGAGGCCGATGCCCCTTCTGACAACCAGAACAACCATTTATTTAGGTACATGGAATGTTCGTACAATGTTAGACGCCGGGAGAGCCCTTCAAATTGCTGCAGAAATGAGGAGATACAACCTAGAGGTACTTGGGATCAGTGAAACACATTGGACGCAAGTTGGACAACAACGACTAACTTCAGGAGAGCTTCTGTTATACTCCGGCCATGAAGAAAAAAATGCTCCACATACACAAGGAGTTACATTGATGCTGTCCAAACAAGCACAAAATGCACTTACAGGATGGGAATCTCATGGACCAAGGATCATCAAAGCCTCATTCAAAACAAAGAAAGAGGGCATTTCAATGAGCATCATCCAGTGATATGCGCCTACCAACGATTACAATGAAGACGCTAAAGATCAATTCTACAATAGGCTGCAGTCAATCATCGAGAAGTGCCCAACAAAGGGTAAGGGGCAGCTGAATACTGGAACAGTTGGAATAGGAATTCTTGCGGTCAATCATGGTTATTTTTTGTTAGGTGAATCATGTTCATGGTTAAACAAACGTCACAAGACTAATAGGCGTACAACGTACTCGTATTAGCAGATATATCTTGGTTCAGTTTGGTGGAGTTTTTGTATAATTTTGGAGGTAATTTCATCTTAAAAAGCCATGTACTGAATATTAAAGCATATTGAACAGTTCTTCCATTTAACTGTGAGACTTTCATCACGAAAGTTCACCCAAGACTGTACTCATTTTCGATCCAAGATCTTGTGAACAGCAAAATACTATTCAGCTATTAAGTCGCAAAGCTAGTTTAAATGTTCAACTTCAATAACCAAATAATACTAGTGATACGTTTCAATAGCCGAAATAAAGTGATTTTAACACAGAAAAGCAGGGTCTAGAGTTTGGACCGTTAAATGATACTTGGAAAGAATCAATTAATCAAATAATTCGTAATCAATCCTATTGAAATGAACAAACTGATTAACCGTGTTAGGTATAGAAGAATAATCTATACATTATTTACATCCAACTGTTGATTATATTAACATTAGTAAACAGAAGTAGTGAATCTTGTCAGGTATAATAAAAGCAATACAACCTTTCATAGTTGAGCTTGTAACCTTGATCCAGACTGGAAAGAAGAGAAAAACTTACAGAAGTATTCATTCATTAATTAATCTTCGAAAAATTTGCATAGTTTAATGCAGCTCTAGTAGGTCCGATGGAAAATGATTAATACGTTATTAGCGTAATTTTCACTCAAAAAAGTTTAATTATGAAGCTTCAATTATCATTCTTGGCATCGTCGGTGCTTATTCTGTATAAAGAAGATTCATATTACTTGATAGATTATAGATGTATGATAATAATAAAATGAGTATATAGAAAGGAGTAAAACAAAATGAACTAACCTGTATCATCTTATTGTCAATATCCAAAGCTAACTGTAACATTGGTAGAACATAATTACGAAACTCTTTTATTGGGAATTTCTCACTTAATATATGTAAATTTTGTAAAAATATTAAGATAATCTGAAATAGAAAAGAAGTTTAACGTAAGAGAAAGAGAGAAATAAATAAACAAAGCAGAAAGACAAACGTTTGGGTTTGAAAGTCACTTAGATCAGTTGAATATCATTCTCTCAATAGCAGTTTGAAGAAATATGAAATATGAATTAGCCTCGGTTAAAAAGCACATAATAAACAAATAGATAAATAAAATTACGGGGAACTCGAGCAAAAATCATCATTTCTCAAAATGAGTAATATTGAATTTAGAAATGTGTACTACTGGATCCAAACCCAGTAGTTTCAATGGTTAAGCACCTGTCGAGAGCTAAAAGCTGGGTTCAACCTCCTCAGGAGTCCCATTTTGAGGTGAAATGGCTGTTTGGTGTTTTATGATTTTTAATGATACCCTAAATGGGATCAGTCTGTGATGAACACCATGCACAAATAAATTTAATCTACAGAAAACCCCTATTTAACACAGTTTTTTGCGCAAATATACCTTCAATGTATATAATATGATATCACATTATAGTACTTATGAGTAGTCAAACTATTTGCCATACATTTTTTCTAAAGCATTTTTATCCTATCTCATAGTTTAGTTGCCTGGATAAATTTTTACTGTAAGTTTTTAATTTGCATTAAAGTACGGAAGCATGTTAAATAATGATTTGTTTGGGCGCTAACTAACTCACATCTTAAAGTACCTATCTTTTTTACTTCTCAAATTCATTTATTCTTCACGAATCACATCGTATTAAATCTCCTTCAGTCCAGTATTCTTCTACTGCCTAGTAACCTCGGACATTTCACCTTACTCGACCGGTCCCCAAATCAAAACAAGACTAGAACAGAAACGTAAATATATCCCAAAGCAAACAGCAAGTTCAGTTAAGTTAATGTAGTAAGAGAACATCAATGTGTATTTAAGCGTTTCACAGGAATATTCTCGAGTCTTTGCAGTTCCTCCATTGTAGCTGACTGGTTGAAAATGAACTAATCAGCGTGTCCCAACGCGACGATGTTTGAAACACGCTTTGATCAAAACTCTGTACTACCAACTGATTATTTATGCCTAGTCCATTTCCGTGATATTGAAAATGTTATTACTTTTACAACTCTAGTATGTCTTGGGAATTTCGTCTCACTGATGTCGTGTGGCAACCTTAACTAATGAGTACATATACCTGGTTGTAGGTTGATTATGACTGAGTGACTGATCGGTTTTGGAACATCTTTTCCATGTATTACGTTTTTTCACTAAACTTTTGATTAGTTTTACAAAAAATTATAGATGGCTGTTGTACAGTTGAAGAATTTTAAAGCAGTGAAACAACAATAAATGAATGTCGTTAATTTTTAATTACAATTATTGGTACTAAAAGTACCATAATTTGGTGGCCTTAAATACATAATTTTTCGACTTTAGATAAAAACACTGCTGTTCTAAGGTTCCTGTAAGATACTTCTGCTTGATTTTATGTTGTAATGTAGGAATACAATGGTCAAACATGGAGAATCAAAGACAATTCTCATCTCATCGTAACATAATTAATGCAATAGGGTGTACAACTTAACAAATCACATGAACCTGAATAGTAGAGTAAATTTAAAAATTCCTGATTACTTATACTTATCAAGAGATGATTGTTGTTCAACGTCATTTGACTTTCTGATTCAGTTTACATTCAGTTGAAATACAAACTTACTTGTATAGGTTCTTTCATTGACATTACAGGAATAAGACGTGGTAGCATATATTGAATAAACTCATCTTGTGTAATTAAATCCAAAATTTGTAAAACAGCTGGTAAAATAAATGGTACCATATGTGGATTGGAAAAATCTTCAGCGATTTGTGGAAAAACACGAAATAGACATAAACGCTAAGAATAAAAAATAATATATGTATATGAATAACAGACATGGATAAAGTGAAGTCATTACATAAGAATCATAGAAAATTCATTTTATCTAGTTAGTTCCTTTTGGTGAACTTTTGCAAAGGAATAAACATTAAACGTGATCAGATGAAGTGAGTTTATTTCGTATAATATGAAGCATTGATTTGTATAGATAAACAAAATGTTTTACAAATGTAATTTCAGGGGTTATTATTATTATTATTATTATTATTATTATTATTATTATTATTATTAATGACTTTATTCGATATGATATTTTGATACAATATAGAATTCTCAGCACAAGGTCGTATAGTCCACCCATGAAAAGTAATTATAATTACTTCTTGAATTCACACAAATATATATATATATATATATATATATATATATATATATATATATATATATATGCAAGAACAGGTTAGAGGTTATTTAGTGTTAGAATCAAAGGAGCATTATTGGTGGGAGATGTAATAGTCGAGTTGAGTTCTGAAAATGGATATATATATATATATATATATATATATATATATATATATATATATATATAATTTCTTAAAGTACATATTAGTTTTTACAACTCATCTATCAAGAGCCCAGGAGAAATATATTACTTATCAATGTAAACTATGATGTTAGAATAAATTTTACTTATTTATAACAATTTACCCAATGCTTAATTTATTCGAAATTATCAAATCAAATCTTGGTGATGATACATATGATGTTAGAAATTATAATGTTGGACTTAGTGACTCGTCATGGATTGCTGACTGGGATTGGATGGAAAAATATGGGAGGCGATCAGTTTATGACATAGAGCCGGAGTATGAAAGATTGCGTAGGACTGTTACTTATCCATCCATCACGACTTATGAGTTAGGGTTCTGGAGATGGTGCAACTCAATGGCTTGAGAAGCCATTAGAAATATCTCAAAGTGGAAAAAAATGAGAATCCTGCTGTAGTTTTCCTTTACATTTTTTACGAAAATAAAAAGAACTCCTTCGACTGAAAATGATTTTCGGTTATATTGTTAACTGAATGGTATCTTCTGTAGCGTCATTTTTTCCACGTATTAAAGCTTCCTCCTTTTTTGTTCTCTTCAATTGAACGCCTTTTGTTTTTTTATTAACAATGTTATTTCCGTAGGCTGTGTGGCGCTACCTTGTTTTTGTACCCAGTTGTATCACATTTTATGCATATTAAATGTGTACTTAAAACTGGCTGAGAAAGGAAATCCGATTAACAACTAGCAGGCATTATTATTTAGTCAGAAATTAGATCAACAGACAGCAAATAGTTGTCGGCGTTTATAGATATTTGTTGGCTAAAACATGACTTATCATTATGGTGACTATCCAAAAATTTTGAATTGTCTGCATAATCCAAGTAGCTGTAGTTCATTGAGTAAATGCTTCAGGATGTGCAATTATCTTCGAGATTTAAAATAAACCGTGCTGTGGTGTAAATCATGTGATTATTTACTAAACTTGATTAACTGAATCATAAAGTACACAACGCGTAAATCACACAAATATTTGAGACAAATACATCTGTTATTTCCTTATGCCCGATTAACTATATCACGTGATACAACCGCCAATTACAGACACTGACTTATACGACCAGGCTAATGACACAACAACCTGTACGAGCAGTCTAGAATTCTTATTGGTCCTCTGAAAAAGTAGCTTCTCTCCTAACACCGCCGGTTCAGTCCAGAAGGTCAATATCAGCCTCCGCGATACGAACCATATATTTCAGACATACTGGGTTTATATACAAACAAACCAGACCGCATCGTATCATAAAATAGAAAATAACAGTCATAAAAGATCAAGCCAAAAAGTGGCTGTGATTGTGATAAACTGTTACCAATAAACTAGCAATAACTTAAGGATAGTAAGTCGTATAATCGTAGTCAATATGTCAAATAAAAGCTTATAACAAAAGGAATATGAGCACCCATATAATATAGTTACATAAAAGTAATCATATATACATGCCTCCAAATGCCCTGGTACGGCCGAGAGTGGGGAAAGTCAGCTCTCCCTCTCGAAATTTTCTCACATGGTCACGTGCATACAACCATCCCCAGGGAAGTCCTACTCACTGACTTCTCGTAGCATCACTGTTGTTTACGTAAATGCGAAGAAGAAAAGCGAATGTCCGGTGATTTCACCGGTCGGTGGACACGGAGGAACTATTCAAGGGAGTTGGAAAACCCTGATTCCAAACCAATGATGAACATGTGCTCCAGTATCCTGAAGGAAGACATGATGTGTGAACCAATCGTTGGTCACAGTCTACCATGAGACTGCATCTCCTGACGTTGCTCCACTGCCTTGTGGATCAAACCTTTAGATCGTAGGCTCTGAGTGTGACCCCCTAAGACAACGACCTGCTTTGGTTTTGGCACCCGGGGCAGTATCCCAGCCCTCACACAAATCGAATGTCTTATGTGGCACATATCCACTTAATGCCTCCTTGTACCAGTGTTTATATGTTTAAATAAAAGTATATATATATATATATATATATATATATATATATATATATGACGGCTTGTAAATAATTCCTAGTAGTTACCATTCCCTTATTCTTCGTCCGGATATAACAACATCAAATAAGTATTTATTGAATAATCTGTCCAAAAGACATTAGTATAACAACTGACAAAATGAAACGGCACTAACTCGTCCAAATATAATCGGATTGACCCATGACAACAAGACATTCGGTAGGTAAATAACCACTGTTATGAGAGGCAATTCAAATGTAAAGTAGAAACTTTCGAATCTATTATTGTACAATTTTATTCATGAATATATTGACTGCATGTTTACCAAGTATTTTGGTTTGTTGAGTTTCGTATTACCCTAGTTCCAAGCTTTTATTTGGACCGTAAATTTTTGTCATAGCATTTTCCACTCATAAACCAGAAACCGATTACTTGTGCACTCAATTAGTCTGCTACGTATGTATACAAATGAATATCTGAAATATAATAACGATTTTGAGACTTGTGATCATAGGTCTAGTGTTCTTCCTATTTGTTCACAGCTAGTTAGAGTTGGGTTAACCGTCAAGCATATAGTATCAGTCCTCCTCGTGCTTGCTGCGTATTGGTCGGTGCCAGGACAACAAATATGTTTGCTCACTAACCAGTCATCTACGAAACACATAATAAATAGTAGTATTATATACTTTATAATGATACCGTAGCTGTATTTTAAAGTTTGGCTCAACGATATGTAGAAAACTATCACCCACTCATAAGAATAACCCACTTTTGGCAAAGCATGAATAGAATTTGGCAAAGACTTATAAAACTGTGATCTAGATAAATTATCCAATTGATACATATTATCCACACTTCGTAGAACTGACATTGATGCGTCTTCAAAATATGTTGTCTAAAAAATACCACAAAAAAACAACCATGAAATAAGTATTGGGAAGATCGAATAGCTAAGAATTTTAATGTGATGGTGTGTGACGAAGAAACACTTTTCAATAAACAATGAAGACATTTTGATATACCCTAAATTTATGGTGAGATATTCTTAGCCAGCATTTCTTAAACAAAACAAAGATAAGATTGCGTCTTTCACCCAGTCCCTACATAATCTAAAAAATAGGCACTGCTCAAATCTACTGGAGACCGAAATTCATTGAAATAAATGAATGTCTATTGCTCATAGATACGTTTACAGTATCCTTGAAGGTAGCTTAAAGGATTTTGTCTTCAAAACGTAACCAAGAAATCAGGAATAAACATTATAGAGTAGACAGTAAGTTGGAGAGGTTCGGTGAAGATAAATGGATAAATAAATTTCTAAAAAAAAACAATAAAATGATACATGCTGTAGGCGAATTACAAAGACTTCACAGTCCACAACATATATGGTATCTAGTTATGTTAAGCCTTAACACCGGATATTTTTAATATTGAGTTCCTTAACTGACTAACATCCTATAAAACCTCATCAACAAATCATTTAAGAGGTCGGATGTGATTGATATTTCATTTCACGGCAAGTTTAGTTACGGAGGTTATTTACATTGTTAAGTCCAACCACAGAGTATTAGTGACCTCTAAGCATAATTCCAAAATGAGAAATATTTATGAATTCGACTGATTAGATTATAAAATAACATAAATAGTTGACTTATGGGGTTTAAAAAGAAACGTTGATTGGGTTAATCTATTTTGGATATTTTTCGGTTTTAATAAAGTTTCCAGAGCTGGGAATTGACATTTTCTAAGACAGTTATTTTAATCTCGCCGAAAAAGCTGTTGTTAAACATTGTATACACAACAATATTTCAGCAAAATACTTTAATATCTTACTCTGACTGTACTACTAGGATATGAAAAATATCAGCCATCATAAGAACATATCGCTAGAAAATAACAGGTGTGAAAAATCCAGGAAAGGATATTATTAGCCCAGAACAAATTACTTGTCAGTTGACTATCGACTTTCTCATCGAATCATTAGGGAGTGGAATTCATTACCTCAGCATGTGGTTGAGACTCCATTGGTCGACTCTTTCAAAAGAAAGTTGGATCAACTGAGAGACCATCATTACTAGAACTAACACCAGCCATCAAGTCTCCTGTCCTTTCCAAACTGAAACTGAAATTTGTGAGCAGTTGTGCCAAGTTAAAAATTGGATGAGAAACTATTTTATCTTATATGAGATAACTGGAGGGGATATATGAAAAAGAGAAGTAATTCATTTATCAATTACATAATGATGTAATCGAATTTGAGCTACATTTGTTATGTGTGTTTTAGTGATTTCTGTTATAAACCCAAACAGAATTAGACAAAGGGAAGTTAAAAACCTACAAGTCTAACAGTTCAAAACCCTCCGTTTTAATTCTCAAACCCCCACTTCGCTTTTATTCCAAGTTGTAAAAAAAGATGAACAATCATCTCGTGCTCATATAATATTAGTTGGTTCATCAAAACCTATCGATGATCTGTTTGAAGTTCATTTTAAATCACTTACTTAAGTCAGTAGTATGTATGAATTAATGCTAATCGCTTACATGCAAAAGTATATTATATACATAAAGAAGAAATAAATTTTCTCACAAATTTCTATGCACCATTAGATGACCAATAATTCAAATAAATAATAATAAAACACGATAAAAATAAGGAAAAAAACGATACGAGAACAATTCAATATCAATATCTTTATGGTCAGTCAGTTACAACGTAGGACCAGGCACATACATGCATCGGTTCAAGTTGCCACACCTCATCAGCACAGCAAGACGGACACCGGATTCATAGAAGCAGTTAATTCAGTGGTGTAATAAATAAAGGAAAGATTTCATGTAAGGATATAGTACAGAAAGAAAGAATTAGTTCGTAGAAAGAAAGATATGAAATAATTTTAATCTCATAGTTTAAGGGAAAACAGAAAGTGTATACACCTACGCTATTGTGATCGATCCTGAGCCATATCACCCAGAGTCTCTAACCATTAGTTACGATAGTCACGCGGACCCCAACTAAGTAGTCTGCATCTATCTATCTTTATGGTCTTGAAATAGAACAATGATTAATTCATGTTTAAATGAAACGCAAAATATCTGTTAGTAAACTAAATATGTTAAATTCTAGTGATTGAAAAACAGTGCTTCCATGTTTTCAATGGTGATCTAACATAGATCAACTCATGAATTCAGCTGTGAAAATGCTACAATCTCCATAAATCCCCATACTGAAAATAAAATACGTCACTCGTTCAATTTTGACTCAACTGTTAAGTGGTACTTTACACAAACATAGGTTCAAGAAGGCACCAAATAGATATGCGCCACATAAAACATTCGATTTGTGTGAGGGCTGGGATATTGCCCCGGGTGCCAAAACCAAAGCAGGTCGTTGTCTTAGGGGGTCACACTCAGAGCCTACGATCTAAAGGTTTGATCCACAAGGCAGTGGAGCAACGTCAGGAGATGCAGTCTCATGGTAGACTGTGACCAACGATTGGTTCACACATCATGTCTTCCTTCAGGATACTGGAGCACATGTTCATCATTGGTTTGGAATCAGGGTTTTCCAACTCCCTTGAATAGTTCCTCCGTGTCCACCGACCGGTGAAATCACCGGACATTCGCTTTTCTTCTTCGCATTTAAGTAAACAACAGTGATGCTACGAGAAGTCAGTGAGTAGGACTTCCCTGGGGATGGTTGTATGCACGTGACCATGTGAGAAAATTTCGAGAGGGAGAGCTGACTTTCCCCACTCTCGGCCGTACCAGGGCATTCGGGAGCAAATAGTACTACAACTTATAAGAAGAGATATTAATGATAATTCATTGAATAAGTCTCTCTATATATTGATCATAAAACTTTCGAATAGATTGTAGGTTTTTTTAAGAAGGAATCATATTATTTGGAAAGAATGAAAAGATTATTTCATGAATAAGGAATATATATGAAAAATGAATTATTTATTGTACATAAATCTTACTCTCAAAAATTGTACAGCATCTGGTCGAATTTGTGGATCTGATGACAGCATCATTTTGACATACTCTTTCAGATTATTCGGTAAATCCAATCCTTTGCTGGATAATAATGATGGGAGCTTATTAGAAAAATGAACAAGAATAAGAAAAAATGTGAAAGTTGTGTAGCTTATTCTTCATAAATTAATGTGTACATTTTTGAGTATTTGTTGAAAACATCAATTGTGAGCTCCCTTTTAACTTACTACTTATATTTGTCTTTTGTGTTGACCATAAGTAAAATTTAGTTAACTATCAATGGGTTATTCGTTTGTGTGACAGAAATGTCTGAATAATGTGCCCACTGCAACCCATAAACTGTAGTGTTATGGTCGGGTATTTTATTGGTTGCGGACCTGAAAAATAATTGTGATAACAATATGAGCTCGTCATCAGGTATTTGGCCTATGGGATGGATTTAGGAGAGTCGGTGCTTTCGTGACCTAACGACCGTGCAAAAAAGCGATTTAATGCGGTTTTATGTATGAAAACATTGGCAGCGTGGCAACAAAGGGATTGTAGAACAAAATAATATCTGCATCATTTGACTAGATCGATTAGATGGTGCAGCAACGGTGAAAATAATTTCAATTGATCTAAAAACGGTTTATTGAAACGTTGATTACAAAGTCATACATACAGACTACGATACTCTCAAAACAAGAATATTGAGTCGTTCGGTCAATCATAGAATTTATTTTGAAGCATGAACTGAGCATATATTTGATTCATGATTCGCGTGAAGTGAGATGCGTTCTTTGTATTGAATTTATTACTTTAGACGGAAATAAGGAGTGGCAGCTAACTCAAACGGCTGATTCAAATGAGCATTCTAAATACGAAATGTAATAAAAGTGCAAGGGCTTTGAGTTTTTACGATACCTTTGGGGTAAGTACGATTTTCTGTGAACAAACGTTACCATTTCATATACTCATCAATTGTCCTAAATTTATAAAGCAAAGCAGAGATTATTATGATAATTAGAGAGCATTATTTTGTATCAGGTCAATTTAGACTAAGTTTATTGTAAGATGACCAGTTTTAATGTTAACTACTTGCTTAGGTAATTCAATCACATATCGACAGTGATATTCAAATAAGAATTTTCTCAAACACATAACAAAAAGTCAGAAACAAAACAGTAATTAGTAAATTCATAATGTCATCTTTAAAATGATACCACCATAGTGAAAATAAAGGTTGTCCCTATATACTTTAGTCATATGTAGCATTTTATCAAAATCAACCGAGGTATTGTAAAAACGCTTGTATTACTTTACAAGCATACGGTATTAATTATTAGTCGGTTACTGGAATATCATGAAGTCAAATATCCTAAGAGCATAATTTTTTTAGTATGAGCGAAATCAATACTTTATGCATCGTCTCTATACTATTTTCGAGTAGTAAGATTTGTTATTTCAAAAAACTAACTGTAAGGAAATTGTGTACAATATGGAAGTAATCTTCATTTCCAAAAGCTGATTGGAATTGGTATGAAACTCAACAACAGTGTAAATTACCAACCTAAAAAGAACTTAACAAACAAATTTCAAGTTATTCTGTCCTGGGATTAATTCTCTGTATATTACCAAAGAGTCTCAAATGAGTATAGAACAGATCTCTGTTAGTCGTTTATGAATGGTTCTTCGACTGACGTTGGTTCGTGGTGAAAACTAGTGTGAAATTAAACTGGAATAAAGATACTATGTGGTGTAAAATATGGTAGGTAATATGCTAATGAATCCTATTGGGATATGTAATTAGTTAACCCTTAAATTGGTTTTCACATATCTTACTCATCTTATACTGAAGATCGCTCATTTTTGAATGTGTATAGAGCTGAATAGCGTTAAATTAGTTGAGGAAACTTTTAGAAAAAATTCCATTGTTATTGAGTGATTATTGGGAATTAGCAAGACAGCAGTTACTTTAATGGTCATATTAATTTACAAAATCCTGAATACTATAAGTGACGTTAGTTTACTTAATTAATTAATTTATTTATTTATTTGAACACATAAATATTGGTACAAGAGAGTGCCAATATATATGCTCCACACAAAACGATGAGAATTCGAAAAGAAAAAAAAAGAAAGAGAACAATAACGAAGAGGTTGGTGTAAGGTAGTGTAATAATAATAATAGTAATAATGAGGGAACGGAAAGGTACAATCAGAAGAAATCTTACAGGTAAAGGAGACACAACCACTTTTTATCAAGAAAGTAAAAGAAGATTACAGCAGGATCGCCATTGGCTTCTATTCTGAGCCATATCTGATAACGTATCTAGCCACTGTGTAGCACCATCTCTCGGACCCCAACCAGGGAGTCGTGAAGGACCAACACAAGCCAGTCCTTTGCAGCATTCTTTCATACCACGACACCATGTCATGCACTGACCACCTCTCCGCTTTTTCCAACCAGTCCCAGAGTCGGCAAATAATGCACGACGTGGAATTCTCTGGGACGACATTCGGAGAACATGTCCAAGCCACCGAAGTCGGTGTTTCAAGATGGTGACACCGATTGCATTATCGTCTCTATGCCCGAACACACGATGCTGAACCTCTGCATTACTAAAATGGTGTTGCCAATGGATGTCAGCAATCCTTTGGAGACAGCGATGATCGAACACAGAGAGTCGTCTAACGTCCTCAACTCGGAGAGGCCAGGTTTCACAACCATAGAGCAAAACTGCTCTCACCGACACGTTGTAGATCCGACCTTTTACAGCCAGACTAACATCACGAAGGCGCAAAAGGTGGCCCAGATTGGCATAAGCCGCTCTGGCTTTCACTATACGTGCATTGATCTCATCACTCACGCCACCACCAGCATTTATGCAGCTACCTAGATACACGAACTTCTCGACTACGTCTATCTGCTCACCATCCAGGGTGAGTACAGGATTGGAATCCTGCCAGTCTTGTAGAAGTACTTTGCACTTCGAAGGTGCAAAGCACATACCATACCTACGGACACTGGTTGCCAACTGATTAAGTACGGATTGCATGGCTTGGGCATTATCGCACAGTAAGACAATATCATCCGCATACTCAAGGTCGAGAAGTCTTTCTCCAGGCAACAGATTCACATCGCCACTACTTACATCCATCAGAACTGTTTCCAGAATGTCGTCGATGGCAAAGTTGAAGAGGAATGGGGAGATTGGACAACCCTGCCTAACCCCACTGCTCGAATGGAACAACGGAGAAAGGTGGTTGTATGCCCTCACTCTACCTGAGGTGTTTGTATATAGAGCTTTTAAGATGTTAATAAACTTCTGAGGCACACCCTTCTTCAATAGACAATCCCAGAGAACAGTCCTGTGCAACGAATCGAAGGCAGCCCTGATGTCAAGAAACACTACGATTGTTGGCCTTTGATAAGTATGGCGGTGTTCTAACATTTGGCGGAGGGTGAAGATATGATCAACACATCCTCGACCGGAACAAAAACAAGCATGCTCTACGCGAGTCAATCTTTCTCGGGTTTTGAACAACCTACGAAGTATGACGGAAGCCAATAGCTTGGACGCAATCGGAAGTAGACTTATCCCCCGATAGTTGTTACAGGAACGACGTGAACCCTTTTTAAAGATAGGTACAACTATCGACTCATTCCATGACGTTGGTACACTCTCTAATTCCCAAACCTTTGTAAACAACGTCGTCAATTCCTTAGTCAAAAAGTCACCACCATCTTTAAAAAGAGCCGGAGGTAAGTCATCTGGACCAGGTTATTTGTAACGCTTCAAGAGTTGGAGTTCCTTGCGGACTTCCGCCTCATTTGGTGGATCAGTCGTCACCGGCCATGGAGGGCAGGACAGTCTGACCGATGTTGCCGGCGCAGCAGACCAGTTGAACTGCCCTTCGAAAACTTCTGCCCATCGTCCAAGACGTCGATGGATGTTAGTGATTGGCATCCCATCATCCTCGCAGATTGTTTCGCTCACACCAGACTTCTTGCTGCCAGTGGCTCGGATGAGTCGGACGAGCTTCCGGTAATTACCAGATGCAGCTGCTGCTTCCAGCTCATTAGCACGCTTCGACCACCAGGCTTCTCAGTCCTTACGCAAGCTTTGCCCAATTTCCTTACGTAACATCCTTCGTTTATGGTTAAAATCACGGTCGCCCGGAGTAGACTGACGAGCTTCAATGAGTTGTAAGGAACCTGCAGAAACCCAGTGCTTAAAAGCGGGACGTTTCGCAAACCCACAACTGACTGTTCCCGCCATTTTCATGGCGTCATGCGATTGTAACCAATGCTCATCTATACTTTTCGGTGGAGTGGTAGCTAGCCTAGAGGCTAGCTCGGTTCGATACTTATTTGCAACAGAAGTTGCAACCAGCTTGCTAATATTAATCCTTTGATGGCGGTCACTTCGTTGTCCACTGAAAAGTAAGGCAAGATTAGCGCAGACCAAGGCATGGTCAGAGTTCAGATAGGTACTCCAAAAGGAACGGCAGTCTTTTACACAACCACGCCAGCGGTAGCTGATCGCGATGTGATCAATCTGAGTCCAGGCTTGAGATGCAGAGAGAGGACGCCAGGTGGCACATCGGCGATGACTGTGCCGGAAGTTAGTGCTAACCAGAAACAGGTTGTGGTCTGTGCACAGTTGCAGTAGACGGTCTCCGTTATCTGACCTGCGACCAACGAGTCCCCATCGGCCACCTAAACGACTCTCTTCTGTGCCTAGACGCCTGACCTGAGCATTCAAGTCTCCGGCTAGTACTACAATATCTGTCGAACGCACTTTCTGGAGAACAGATAACTGGTGGTAAAACTCATCCTTGATTGCATCCGGGCTGCAATCTGTCGGCGCATAGGCGGAGATGACGAAAAGACATCGTTTCTCACGCCGATTTCTTCTCACGTTGATGGATTTCTCTAATCTAACAGCACATAACCGACTGTTAATGGGGATCCAATCGATTAGTGCTGCCTCAGCTCTAGCGCTTAGTGCGATACCAACGCCAGCAATACCAGACGAAGATGCCACAGGGTCCCCGGATAAGCGCACGTAAAACAAGCTTCTTGAAGTGACAGATGTAGAGCGAATTTGTAGTACTTCACCAGAGTCTTGAATACGGGTCTCGGATAGACAGCAGACATCGATATTAAGACTTTCCAAAGACATAGCCAGCCCTATCTGTCGTTCAACCTGCATAAGGGTGTGAACGTTGAAGGCAGCCAGTTTGAATGGTGCACGTGGTTTCAGAAAAACTGCTTCAGTACTCATATTCAGTGGTAACATACAATTTTCAACCAGGTAGAGACTCGATAAGGTTTGGATACAGTCGAATTTCCACCAAAGACGAGCCGCTGTATAAGTAGAAAAGAGGGTGAATAATGTGGTAAATAATAATAATGATAATAATAATAATAATAATAATAATCAGTTGATTGTTATTCGAAGCGAGAAAAGTAGTTTCCATAGATATAGAGAGTTCATCGTTTGCGTGTGGGTTGTGATGCTGCCCGGGTGCCCAGACCGAAGCAGGTGGTTATCTTAGGGGGTCACTCCCCTAGCCTTTGACCTAAAGGTCTAACCCATAAGGCAGTGTAGCATCGTAAGGAGATGCAGTCACATGGTAGCCGGTGACCAACGATTGGTTCATACGCCATTTGTTCCCTCAGGATACTGGAGCCCATGCGCAACCATTGGATTGGGATCCGGTTAAAGCGCCGGACATACATGTAGTCTTAAGGCGATTGAAAATCAATAAAAATTCAGTAATCCTTCAAGACCAGCATCATATAAACAGCTAGAAAGATTAGTACTTTGATGGAAAAGGGTGCAGGTAGAACTGAGCTGAATATACCAAAGACGAGAACTGATATATATATATATATATATATATATATATATATATATATATATATATATATATATATTGTAGCTATTTATGTGTTACTCAACAAAAGATAAGATATAATTGACGTGTATTTATCAACTAACTACTGACTAATTTGAAGAGTGAAAAATTTCATACTTATGGGCATGTTTGTACGTGTAGAATACATGACATAAGATATGAAATCATGGTATTAGGATAACTAAGTAGAATTCATTGGAAGTTATGTAGTTTATAATCCTTGAGGTAAATCAATACATTTTTAACTATAGATGAGAGAATGATGCAGAAACAATATAATGGACGAGTCAGTTAAGTAGAAGTTAACGCCAACACCATTAGTATTTTATTCAATTTGTACATTGATAAACAACAATGATCTGAAAATAAAAGTTGGTTTAGGTGATTGAAAATTCCTCAACTATAGAAATTAACGGATTTTCACAACCTTATCAATCTATTTACCTTTTCTACTTGGTACCATATGCTTAATTTCAATTATACACGTTCATTGGCCCGATCGTGGGCGAAGAATTAGTCAGACATTCATGGTCACATAATAGCAACCTGAGCACATCACCAGCCTCAGTGTGATTTTGTTGGGGACGTTAGATCCCCAGGACTCACTTGGAAAAGGACCTGATTTTGTAATTTTATTTAGAAAATTTGAATGTCTTTGTTTCGAGCCAAAAAGCACTCTTTTCACCTTCATGTCGTATTTCCCACCTGGGAGAATCCTAAACGCTATCGGTCCGTTGTGTCTTTTAGTATGCCATTTTGTAACGCTTCCCAGGGACGGTTTTGTGCTATATATATATATATATATATATATATATATTTATATATATATATATATATATATATATATATATATATATATTGATTTGTATTTGTTGTTATTGCTCGTGCTTCTGGCTTTTTGCGGAATATACTTCCCCGTTCGGACTTCGACTTTTCTCTCTAATTAGCGGGACTGGGACACAATAGAATAGCTAGTTTATTGGTCTTTGGTTACAAGTCCTTGTTCCGTTCGCAGACTAAGTAACCTCGTAACCGCTTTAAACCTAACAGATTTACAGTCGACAGGTAATACAAAGAAGATTTCTATGTCGTGCGCACTGGCCCTTTTACAAAGAGACGGGTACTGTATCTCAGAGATAGGTGTCTTAGGTTATCAGAAGTAATGAAAGCGTTTTGTATTCACCTCAAGAATTCGATAGCCACAAAATAGATCGTATTCAAAGGTTATATTTTCGACGAACTTAGAAAGATTTGATTTTCGGTCATTAACTCGTTCACAAGTTTTATTTCTCCAAATGAAGTCGAATTCAGTACTGAAATTTTTTGTACATTTTATCAGCTTCTACTGACTTCGTGAAATCTGAAGCGAATAGAGCACTGGAAAATGCACATTTAACAAATTTAGGAATATTTTTCCAGGAACAATCTTAATAAATACGACATACCCGAAAAATAATGTCCATCATATTAACAACGCGCCCGGAACTAACACATCCAGATGGTTCAACTATTGGAAAACTGAATAGCAGTTTAGGTCTGTTATGGAACTTTCTTAACAGTACACACAACCAGACATGACGTTAAGCTCATAAAACTTCAGGTTATGCATAGCCAAAATCTAACGATTCACATTTTCATCATTATTCCAGAACGATTAGTGAGTTATAAATTGATTGGCAACTTCCTTGACTTTAAATATTATTGCTTCTCATTAGAACTTTAAGACATTTATTGTTAGTTAATAATAGCTTATGTTCTACGGTATGATTCTATCTCAATGAACGCCTCTTAGCATGCGTATGTGCACGAGGGTTTAATGCTAGACGAATATGTATGCATCTTATGAATATACATAAGTTAATGAACTCATTCAGACAGGTGCTTGTTGGGACAGGTGACCCTGGGCGGATTAATTGCCTCCTTACTGAGTTATCGCATTTGATGGGAAAAATTACTTCTCAAAGTTTACAAAATCCCCACAAAGTATCTAAATAAAATAGGCTGGGTAACTACATATATATTTTTTAGCACAATTTAAACCTCGATGATGTATATGGTGTTTTTTACCTTGATATGTAAACAATACAAACATTTATACATAGTTCATACTTGGTATTTAAGTATCAACGAATTTATAATCTAGATCACCAACGTTTCGTGAAAGATGATCTACCTATTCTATTAAGAGTGAAATGTTAGACAATTCACCGTCTAACGACCAATCAATGATCACAGATCATCGTTTTAATTAAGATACAGCCAGAAAATTATCGCTTACATCTAACAAAAATGACAAGGAAACTATGAGTTGGTCTATCTAATAGCTTAAGGCATCATACATGTGTATTATTCGTCTGAAACTTTGCATCCTTTGCATTCACTGAAATTCTTAATAGGAAGCGCCATAACTGAAGGCTATTAATTCATTCTCCTAATCGTATTCGTACCAATAATAGCGCATTTGTAACATTTAGATCGTTCTTGTTTTGGAATCACTTGAGTAAATATAAAATTCCGAATATCTGCGTTCTTAACATCAGGGTGTCATTTCTGTTGGTCTAGATATCATCAAATGTATTTAGCAAGGTACTAAACCAGGGTGAACTAACATGGTAGAAAGTGATAAGCTGTTAGATAGTTATCGCATAATATTAAGTTTTGTCTCCCATTTTATATGGAGAGAAACTTATCGAATTGCCTGCAGTTGTTTAGTTCTGACGTTTAATACAACGTAATATTGATATATCAATCCAGTGATCATCAGAATAGGCAACAAACCAAAACTGAGTACCTCGTCGATTGAAACCTTTTATTTTCGAATTCAATGTCACAAACGGAACTTTTAAGAACAGAAAATTATTCGACGTGGATACTGACAGTTCGTACACCGCCAACATTAATTCACTTACCACCTATTCTTATATATCTCTTATTATTTTATGCACCTTTTCTATAGTGGCTTAAGATATCCTGGTTCACGATTCAAATAGTCAACAAACAAGTTTCTAGGTTGCTTTTTAAATTCAACCCACAGGTATGTATCAAAAACCCAGAGGAGTTGACGGAAAGTATTAAATTTGAAATTTTCTCCATATTTACTACGATATATCTTGGAACCAACATTATCGCTCTTCAATGGAGTAGTAATATCACCAAAATATTACTAATTAATAGTGAATTTTTGTTCGATACACTCGTAATAATAACAAGCCAAAAAGACGAGGTAGATAGCAATGACAACAACATTTATCCAATATATATTTAATACTGCAGTAAAATCCCATATATTTATTTGTATCCCACTAGATCTTTTTTGTTTGCTGTGGAATACTTAAACAAAAAAGAACTAAATATGCGCAAAATTCTAGTTTACAAGATCATACTACTTACTTGTTTAACCGTTTGTTTGTAAGCGTGATAATCATCTCCAACATCCAAAATGGATTTGCCACGATTGAATAGTGCACATATTAAAAGACCGAGCGAAAACATATCACTTGCACCAGTCACTTCACCCTAATAATTTTAATAATATAAAAAATACTTTGGGTGTTGTGAAGAATTCTTTAAAAAATAATAGGTGGACTACAACAGAATAAATTAACAGTTTAAGGGTTGTGGAGATTGTTAAGTTTTTGATTGAGATCATGAACCGATTGACGTTAGACCACCATTGAAAACCTGGGAGCACTACACGTCCGTTTCGTCCTATTGTTGGACTCCTCAGCAGTGCGCATCCATGATCCCTCTTGCGGCCCTGGGTTCGAATCCCAGGTTTTCAATGGTGGTCTAACATTAATTGGTTCATGATCTAAATCAAGAATAAATTAAGTATGGATGGGGTTGTTTCTAAAAACCAATTAGTAAAAAGTATCACGTCGCATATTATTATAAGGGCTTAAGCTCTTCTTAAAAGAGGATCTTTTATGTCATCAACTATGTGAATTCACGAAGAAAGTTATTGTGAATGGACTAAAGTTAACATTTAAACTAATGTCAAGAACTCTGCCCCAGAGAACAAGCTTAAGAGTCAACAAAATTAAAAGTATATTTCTCGAAGTGATTTGCCAATATAGAAGCGTAAGAACCATTAATCTACCTTGAAAACAGTAGAAAACTGAAACGGCTAGCACCAGAAAAATACTTGAAAGACGGGTAGAAACCTGAAAAGGGAATATCGCTTACACAAGCATCGTTATTTTTTGTTAGACAGTAGTAACTTTTAGATATATTACAATACTAAAATTTTGAACAGAAAGACTAAGTCTAGTTACCTATTCGACAGAAGTTTTTAGATGATAAACACCCCCACCAAAGTAAACAGGATGAAGTACTCCATTTCGATAATCGTAACATGATTATCATGGGATGATAGCAACAATCACTGATTACACTCATATACTAAGTACACAATTATAAACTTGGATTTGAGCCATACTAATTGTGTGGGGGCTAACAATACTACCCCGTTATCAAAACTAAAACAAACGGGGCAAGATTCGAGCTTGTGGTGCACCAGTTGGAAGCCAAGTGTTTTAATCAGAAAGCCGCCGCTCTAAGACCTATATCAATAGGGTTTCGAATCCGACCTATTAAGCGTAAATCTATGACGTCTTAGATAGGTACATCTGTATTCTAAAACTTAGACGACACACAGTCATTTCGTATGACATGTCTAAACCCCTAAAGTTATCAGTTGCCAAACAATCAAGTCATCTACATTTACAAACTACTCTCCAAAAACTAACAATTCAAAAAAAAAATGAGTAAGGTATTTGATAAGATATTAGATATCTAAGAGAACAACCGTAGAGAAGTCTAAACTAATAACTGACAACAAATTACCAATATTTGCCGATTCTTATCAATAAGAAATCGATGTACCCGTTTAATGAATGCATATATATAATGTCAGCTACAATGTAGGACCAGGCACATATATGCATCGGTCCAAGTTGCCACACCTTATTAGCACAACAAGATGAACACCATATATAATATCAGTTCATTAAATATATTGATTTGAGACAAATATTTCATTCCCAGTTCAAAACAACTAACTTATGTTGTGCAGAAGAGCAATGACAAATCAAGTTCGTTCGCAATGGAAGAGCTTTCTACATAAAACTCAATTAAAAAGAGGGAAAATATGAGAAAGAAGTGATCATATAACCTAATTTGTTAAATTTGTTGGTTATAAAAGTTTAACTTTATGATACTATTAATTCTGTTCATACATTTGGTCACTGATTATTTAATGTGAAGTACTGGTCAGTTTAAATTACTCAGATCTGACTGTTTATCAATGTAAATGAAACATAAAAATCGGTGTATTCAGGAATAACTTTAGTGTATAATAAATTTTCATCTATCGTTTTCGCCTCCTCCTTTGTAACGAGCAATATCATCTCTTTGTTTATAACACTTTATGGTATATATTGTTCATAAAATATCATTTATTTTCTGTATGCATATATATGATTTAGAGAACACACTTTATCGAGTATAAAAGCGGTAATTTTAACTGTTGATAACAAAGTATAGTTCTGCGATGACTGTAGTTGAATATCACCAAGTGATCAAGCGACAGACAGACTTAACAATCGTTTTCTTTGATAAATTGATGGTATGTTTTCAGCAGTTTAATTTATTCTGATATCTACGTATCAAGAAATAATCTTTTGTACGTGAAGGATAAACTTTTTCATTTCATCTTCTGTGAAGTACAGTACATCGACCATACCAAAGGGTTGATCTCAACACAGATATAGGCGCAAGCTTTGGCATGATTTCAATTAAAAGTGACAACAAATCTTTCGGAACCTGTGATCAAGCTAACCAACATACTGTTTTTGACAGTGCTAATAAGAATTAATCGAAATCATCCAAAGCTACTTCCTTTTTAAATTTTCATGATAGCGGAAGTTTTAACAGCGTACTAGATGAATGTTGTTTTGTTTATGGAAACATGATCACATCTCACCTACTTTATTTTGAGCATAGATTTTACGCAACTCGTCTTCCATACACAAAAATCGGGGCTTAAAGACTGGTACATCAACATGTGTTGAGTTCTATATATATATATATATATATATATATATATATATATATATATATATATATATATATATATATATATATATATGATCATATATATATCATCTAATTCGTCACCAATCGTCATAAAGTACGTTTGAATTGTAATGTTGCTTTCCTGGTGCCAATATGTTTAGTCAATTGGTTACCGTTCACAATACATCATGGTTGCAAACTCACTCCTTTTCCTTGACTATACTGCTTGTTGTCTGCCAGGTCACAACTAAATCTGTAGTAATGTTTCATAATTCAGTGTCTCAATAATACGCGAACATATAGATCTGTAACGTGTACATGTCAACATTACATTTAGAAGCATTATTTTGTGGCTATGGTTTTCGAATATTTAACTAATGGTATGGTTTATTAGTTTTCTACATGTTATTTTGTGTTTTGACTTGACATGATCAATCAATCGAGGGTTCATATACCCAACTTTGAGTCACATTTTGTGTGTGTGCGTGATAGCTGGTCAAACTGTACGGTTGCGTGAAGTGATTGAGGTGGATTGGGGTTTAAACGCGAGATAAAATGCTTGGAAACCGAGTTTATTTAATTTTAAACACCACCACCTCAGAAATCCTGTTTCCCTTCGTTATTTTTCTAAATTCTACAGCTTACCTATTACAATTACGATAGGTCTGGAAATATTTCATATTATGAATACTGATACTAACTAGTTATTGAAAACCGAAGAACCAGCAAGCAAACGGGTTACAATTACTGAAATTAGTTAAAATTTCATAGTTACGTTTTTTTAAGCGTCAAGTTCAGAAATAAGTTTGTTAATAAACTACACATCTCTCCGATGAATTTTTCCAGGAGTATTTACATATTTTTGATATCATAACCACCATCTATGGCAAAAATGAACGGTTTGGCGATATGTGCACTACAACACATACTTGGCGATTTCATGGATTATGAACACTTCACATTAATATACACAACCAAAACTGTACAAGAAACAAGACCAAGAAATATAAATATTGATGGTTAATGGAGGAAGAAAGACGAAAGAGCCAGGCACAAACGAAAAGGAAAGTGGGGAAATCTCAGAGAAAATTTCAACACTTAATTTGAGCAATTACCAGGTGTATTTTAAAGTGTCCCCACTTAAATTCTCGAGCCGTTACTTGATTTATGTTACATACACCAATTGTGTTAAATGTCTAAATTACCTAAATCTTAAGTATCTAGATACTGTCTTTACACTTTGACGATTCGGAAAAACAGCGAAACAAATATTTAGTGCTCTCAGATTTCTAATGGTTTACTTCAGCTGAAACTGAGTTTATACCAAAAACTATCTTCGGGTTACACCAAACTTTCATAAACCCCTCATTTACAATGTAAAATTCGTGAACATAATCCAAAAGAATTACTTACCTGAAGGATCGCCTCGGGGCTACTAGCATTAAGATTTAATTGACAAGTATGCATTAAATTAGACTGCCAAACAGGTATTTTGACAAGAGATTGTCCTGATTTTTCGTTCTGGTCTGCTACTTTTGAAAATTCAAACCCACCAAGCTTCCAAATACCGAAACGATTGATTACTACTGACTCAGGAGCCAAATTTAAATGTAAACGATGACAATCAGAGTGTAAAAAATTCAGTGCCTCTGCAAGCTGAAAGTGAAAAAGAAACGCAATAGAATTCTTTTAAGACCGTAACATCTAGTCATCCATATAGTGTTGACTAGGCTAGAGATCATTAAGTTATGGAAGTATTTTTGACTCAACCAAAGAACAAAATGTATGTATGAAGAGGGTGGAAGGTGATGATCAATGTCTGGCTGATTAATATTACTCGACCAACGAAATTGGGATTTTCTTTACAAAGGATGAGGTGAGTTGTGGAAAGATTAGTTTCAAAAGTCAGTGAGGTACCGAAAGAGTTTAGTTTGAACTTCAGGAAGTTGAATTCGCCTAACTTTCCAGATAAGGTTGATTAGTATATAATGAATAAGACTTAAAAGCAATTTTCAATTATCATTATAAATCATCAATTAAGTACAGCTTCGTGCACTTGGCTTTGAGCCACACTGCGAATGTGAGGGCTAGTGATACTATCCGGTGCTCAAACTAAATTACATGGAGAGGGTTGGAGTCTGTAACTTAGTAGCTGAAAACTGAACTCCTTAGCCACTGAGTCAGCACTTCACAACCTTTTGTGCATTACTTCAAATAGATAACACGAAATTGTGTACTCTAAAAGAAATATGTAGTGACAATGTCAATACGTGCTATAATTTCCATATCGAGGACCACCAAAAAATCTTTGGAATATGAGTACAGAATCGAGTGTTCCTTCTTATTCGTTATGCTTGCGTAAATGACTGACCTAAATATAGTAGCGCTAAGTTTCAAGATTAAAACATAGCTTTTAAAGATAGCTGAGTGACATGATAAAAATGCTTGACTGAACGAGGAGAGGTTAAAGAAATAAATGAATTTCTCATGATTTACAAAAACATAATAAATGAAATTTTACTTATGAGGCCTATTTTGAGTCACATAAGCGAAAACTCCCTAACCATTAATCTTAATCATCTCACTCCCACCAAAGGACCTACTTTCCCGCAAACCTTGACCAACAATTATGGACTGGATTTGACCATTCTTAGTCAGACTATACTAACCAACGTATCACCTAGAAGTACTCTGAAAATAAGACAATCACTGGTTGGCTGTTATCCAATATAATTTCGATGTTTGACTGGTAGTTATATTACATTGGTATAACCAATATTTCAAGACTAGTTGAAGTAGGTATCGAGTTGTTGATGACATTCATGGAGATCTCTGTTAATTTCGTTTAACTTTTATTAGTGTATGAAATGAAAAAGGCGTTAAGTATTGACATACATATAAGAAACTAAATGACGGTAAAAAAAAATGCTTTAACTTACCTGCACCAAACCATATTTAATCTCAGTATCTGATAAAGAAAAATCCATAGACTCGTTTGGCTGTCTAATGTTTGAAGAATCTCTTGTCAATACACTATTTAGTGAAGTAAACAGTGGTTCCGTTGCATAAGCAAGACTTTCACGTGATTCCTCTAAAGGCTGAAGAACTGATACTATTTTTGGATGCTTAATCCTCATCAACGTAGACACACCGTATTTAAGTATTTCAATCATAGATTCTCGTTGTAACTTTGGATAAGACTCTAACAATTTCTTTTCCATTATCCATATAGTGGCTTCCTGTGATAAGGGACGAAGGTGATGAGACTTACTTGATGAGTAGAACGTTTTTTAGCTGAATACATTTTCCATAATGAACCTGGACCAGTTTGACCAATTTGTTTCTCAATATCATACTCTCGAGTTAACGGATTGCCAGGTAAGGCACCTGATACTTTTGTTTTTAATTTGTTGAACACAAAGTCCATCTGCAATATTATAGACAAAACTAACATAAAGATGAATGCTTATTCGCCATATTGACAATTATGAAAATTAAGCCACTTATAAGCTGCAAAATAAAACGATACATATGAAGAATAACGAGATGAATCACTTTATTTAGTCTGTATGAGAAAGTTCCACTGACTCAATTGAATCGTACGTGTAAATAAGAACCTGAAGTACTTTACAATGAAGTTACTTAATACTCATTTTGATATCACTGTCATTTTTTTAGAGCATAAAGAGAGAGCACCTGATGTAAGGCACTAAAAAAGGTCCAGAGAGAGGAACATTTTCATGGAGAAACAAGAAAAAAATCACATAAAAGTAAGAACACGAATAATAAATCACAAAACCAAATGAGAAGGGACAATTAAAAGCACATTGACGGAAGGATCGTACTTTCCTGTCTTAATGACACAGTGAAGTTAGATCGGCTGGACTCCAATATCTAAAGTTTTTGGAATTCTCCTTAAGCATTCTCTATGTTTATCATTGAAATATGGACATTATTACCATGATATGGTCATGAAATAGAATTCGTATATTTAGATATATTCGAATATTATGGCAGTGCAACAGATTATCGGGCTACCGGAGTTTCAGTTATACACATTCTCTTCCCCATAGGTGGAAGGAATTCAAGGTGTTACAGGCAAACCAGTGACCAATAGACATATAGATGACTATCGAGAACCGAACTTGGAAGTGAACACTGAAGAGATTGTAGTCACAATTGGTAGAGCTGAACATTATCCGCTCATCTTAATTCACCACATTATTTTGTAACCGTACTTTAAAGTATGGTCAATTGACCATAATAAATAACCGTGGTTCCTCAAGGTCAGTTTGTTAACACTCAAAAGGCACCCACAGATTATGACAACGCTTAGGAAACCAAAGAGTAACCCGAATATACATAGACTACAAGATTAAAAAAACACTGCCTTATGACGCTAAAGTCGATACACAACATCTATAACAATGTAGCTTTTCAGAAGTAGTCTTCAGGAGCATAAAAGACACAACTTAGTCAACAACTTCGTTCTCTATTGTAGGCTGACATAATTTAAGATTTTTGGAGCAGTGATAAACAGTTATGAATATAAATCTTAAAAACTGAATATAGTGAGCAGCTTGATCAGTTCCCAGGTAACCAATAAAGATGAAATGAAGCTGACAAAAGCGTAATTAAAAGAGGGATGTCGAAATTTTGCCTCCACGTTTTTTATTTGGAGCAAATGTTGATTTCCCCCCCCCTTACGTCGTGTATTTGGATGAGATTTGTAGACAAATAAACGTAAAGTACTGTGTTTGGATATGGCGCCTTCTGTACTTAAGTTTCCATATACGTATATAAAATAATGTACTGTTTGATAGAAAATGAAGATTCTTATCACTAAAAAAGTGAGGTAATGCAAACACATAGATTTTTCTCAGATGCTTATACTTTTACATTGTTGTTTGTTTAGCTAAATTATTCCTAAGTGTTTGGTGGCCATCACAAATGGCGTACAATATGCATGTAAGTGGCATGCTCTCTGTTTTCTATGTTCACTATCACTAATTACATTATGTCCTATAAGATACGTCGACATCAACGTTCGAGTCCAGGCGTGTAGGCAGTACGTTTGCGGCCGAGTAAGTTACATGTCCGATTGAGTTAAGCTTTTGAGATTTAATAGGCTCTATACTGAACTGCAGAACACATTGCCCGGTATTTCCTACTTGAGTATCAATATTCAGCAGCTACTTTCAAAGTCTTGTGAGCCTAATCGTCCGTGAATATTTAATTGCAACTGTCAAGTCAACAGTTCCCTTTATCGTCTGAAGAGGAACCGGGAACGTTGGACGCTTGTCTTCAGCAGGAAGAGTTAAAGGACAGATCTGTAAACTGATAAAGTTAATTTGATCATTTATTTTTATTACAGATGGGCATGTTGACGAGCTTAATGGATGATAATCGTAAAACAGCAATCGATATATTTTGTCATACATCACGACACCTGAAGTTGCTGGTCATTTCATGCTACTTGGCACTTCACCGAAAGGAGAACTTCAGAGGTGCAGGTATTACGGCTGCTTACGAAGTAGGAAATGTTATTTTTCAAAATTCAGGTGCATTAACTAATCGGTTCGTCAACAACTGTCAACGAAAACGACCTTGCAAAACTATATGGTGCCGCGACGCAACGCTATTTTCACGACATGAGAGACAAATTACAAAAGCGTAGTTGAAGAAAACAAGAACAGGTACCTACTAATGTAGTCTGATAACTACTCTCTGCTGCTCTATAGGCACAATCTTCAGTGCTAACGAACATAATGTCTAATGAAGCTTCAAGTAGCTGGTTGTGTAAAGGCATGTCGATTAGATATCGCTATAACATTTTCTGTTCTTGACATTTTAGAATTTACAAGGTTATTTTGATTCGCAATAGTCAACCAGACATTACGAAAATATAATAACCAGTGGAATATTTATCATGTTCAATTTAGCTTTCAATAAACAATCTTTAAACATGAACTTACTTTCTTGCTTGAATATAAAATTATTTAACTAAGTGTTGAGAAAGCCGGTTTGATTTGAAATTCACTTGCAATTAAGTACATGTGCCTAACAAGTAACTCATAACCTGTTCTTTCTCTTGTAGATCTTTTCAAATTACAATAAAACTTGGCATCATGTAATGACTGATGCTCTAGCATCTGCCAGCTACTCATAATGTCGTACAGTATTACGGTTTTTTTCTTTTAAGTCCATTTTTTGAACATATACCTTTTTACGCGGATCGCAGTTTTCGTGTGGTGTTATGGAATTAGAAGCGAACTCACGAGATGTTTGGGGGGGGTGTCAAAGGTGTTTTAAAAGTGGAAGCAGAAATAATGGAATCGGCGAGTATTTAGGCAAAAAGTAGACAATTCAGTGACGTTTGAAACACAGAGCTACATAAAAGGAAAAATCCGCATTATTTCCAACGAACAGTCGAAAAAGCAAACATTTTGGCGCGTTTCACCATTAATTCCTCTTTATTTCTTACGCGATTTCCTCTTTGTTCGCCTTTATTTCCCCTTTATTGGTTGAATAGGTTGGCGAGAAACGCACTTGGAGTAGAACCTTCGATGACGTGAGCATAAGCCCTCCACTCGAATGGCTTCCAAGTAATAGAAACTGCCTAATAAAAGGTATTGATTCAGACAGTCCATTATTCAATAATTTTAAATCGCACGTGAAAGAGTCATTATTCCAATTATTAATATTAATGCGACACACCTTTATAAGACGAATGATTTTCGCATCCACTTCTGAATGTCAATTTACGGTTTAGGGACTTAGTTTTCTGGAAACCATCTCGATAAAAAAAATACCAAATTTGTACATATATTCTGCGATTAATAACATTAGTAATCATTCCAGTCGTTTTTGCATGCTTCTTGTTATTAACTAGTAAGTTACTGTTTTGATATAATCATTTGATTTTCCAATAAGTCCTCACCATTTGCTTGATACGATCAGAGTTCAGAAAACACAGTGCAGCTTATATAATACTTGTTCCTATTCAATCAACTCTCACAATAGGGTACAAAATTAAGGCTCATACAGAGGAATAATAAGGTTACTGTGAGGTAAGGCGTGTCTGTTTCACTGTTAAGATTTCAGTCACACTCTCCTGGGATCAACAATTCAAAAGACGGTAATAGCCATAATCTTCCTTGAAACAATGTTGAAGATGTCACAGGTATTCGGAGTTTTACAATGCTTTAACCAGTAACACCTTCTAATATGAAGCGTACCCACCAAGCGAAATCAAGAGACATAAGCAATGAGGTTCGACGATATAATTGATAGGCTATCAATATATCGAGGATCGATTGGTCTAGAGATTGCCGAAGATGTTGAGCACGGCGTTCCCACTTGTGATCTGGTGCGGATGCATGACCAAGCGCCTTCAGCTAGGGGAGTCCATCAAAACCAATATGGTCAGCATCCAATGTCGAAAACTTACAAAGCAATTTATCTTAAGGATTTATATACTGCTACGACTTAAAGAATGATCAAAATTGTTCATAAAATATAGATAAAACGTACTACACGAAAGGTAATAGGAACGCGTATAAGCACTGAACAGTAAATGATAGCAAACTCCCTCGAAATCAACCAGGAAACATGCTTCAAAATCAATCTCACGAAACAGTGGTTATCAATCCACAAAGTACCAAGCAAAGTGTGGTAGTCCAATATCCCGAGCACCGTAAGGGCAAAGTTAAGTAAAACAATGATAAAATGGTTAATGGAAAGCTTACTTCTACCGTCAATTTTTCGTACTTGACTTCAAATTAACCATCAAGAGGTTATCTTTATGAATTACAGAACGCTTCGTCAAAGTCTTATGGTAACAATAACAATAATAATTTATTCTCAAATAACGGTTTGCTACATGAGGCATGCCAGTTTACAGGCAAGATCAAATTGTTACGAAAGATACAGTTTTCACTGTAGTAAATTACTCATCTGTGTTATTGTTTTATGAGATATGAATGTAAGTGGTTTTAGTAAGACTCGTATTGTCAGTATCACAGTTGGAACGCTTTATGAATGTTGCGTTGCGACGTTGTTGTGTGAAGCTTGAAAAATTCATGACAATTTGATTCGGAAATTAGGTATTATCTGGGCATTAGTCTGGGGTTTATTGATTAATTACTCAGTGAGGGCTTGCGTTATGATATAGGTTAGAACAAACAAGAGGACGAATAAGAATATTAATCACCAGTCATTTGGACTCAATACAGCGATTCCATGATCGGATGGTTGAAGAAACTCCCTGATATTTAGAGCTGTAAAGCAGAATAATGCAAACATTTGGATAAAACCTAATGCGCTGCTGGAGGGCAAGATCATACGAGGGATATTTGTGGTTGTGCCAGAACTTCAGTGACTGAAATGAGACAAAAACTAGCAACGTAAGGCTTGAGGCCGTCAAGTTTCCTGAATGAACTTTGTGTGAAAGTTATCTTTAGGAGTTTCATATTTCAATGTCCGTAATTTTTAGCGGGACAGAGATTGGAATAAAGCATGCTCCACGCATGGTTGCGTCAGTGCACGCTGATTGTCTAGTTCTCATTTAATGAGCGACAGTCGATACTTGGAGAGCACTCTAGAATCTTCTCACGCACAAACTACAAATATACTATCGTTTTTCTTATTGCGATTCTTACTTCCATCTACCCTTGTCATTCGGGATATAATTTCTTTCTTGTTCATCTGTGTTCTGGTCTAGGGACTTGTCGAGTGAATTGATATCCAAGAATACTAGGCAAAAGGAATAGTTGGGTTGTAATAGTAGGGAATCATAACAGTGACGATGGGGAAAAAGGAAAACAAATTCAAGATGTCCAGATCAGAAAACCGGCTCAACGGAATACTACAACAACAGCAAACACAACTTCATGAACAAATGTGGTTGTTGGATACTCTGACTCAACAGCTCAAAATCCACTGCTCGAGTTCACATGTTATTTAAAGTACGTCTTGTGATGCAGTTGCTAGCGTCATCCTGAAATTCATCTATCACCCCGAAAGTGAAAATACTTTTCTCACGTGGTTATAATAAAATTATGTAAACAAGACGACGTGTGGAAGACTAGATTGTCGGTCTATAAGTTGAAAAACAATGAACATGTACGTTATGCTGACCATATGTTGCCAAAGTTACATCGAGAGCTCAGTTTCGAGGAGACGATCATTTATTGTCAGAGATATTCAGTGAATCATTCTCATCGTTTAGTATTCGATATCAGTGTCTAAATATAGTGGAACGAGAAGCCGATGAATAAGGTGCTTTAGCAGACGTCGTCAACAGGGAGTGTGAACGGTTAAAGTTACGCTCGTTGACAGAAGGCCAATTTAAATGCTTAATATTCATCGAAGCTCTTTGGTCGACACAATATGTTGAAGTCAGGGCCAGAATTTTGACTGGGCTGGATCAAGACCCAAATGTCCCACCCAGAACATTTACAGATGAGTGTAAACTGCTACAAAACATCAGACATGACAGCGAGTTAACTGAACAGGCAATTCCTTACTTAAATTGCAGTAGTGTGAATGCTATCACTAGGTTTAAACTTCAGAAGTTTATGGCAACACGTAACAAACCAACGACTGCATGTTGGTTATGTGGTGATTGGCGTTGTGTAAGATGCTATCCATCCGAGATTCATAAATTTCAGGTGTGCAACAGACGTGGACATTGTCCACCGAATCGAAAAATTAATTGGTGGCATACAAAACAATCGGACACCGAATATTCGCCGTAAGGATTTTGATCCATAAAAACATG